TCATAAAATAAAAAGAAAGTCGTTTATTTCTTTTTCTTTAAAAAAATAATTTTAGTTAAAAATGGTTCATTTTCAAACAATTTAGATTGCCAAACAGATGAATAATCAAACATTTTGAACTTAAAAAACTATAACATTCCATTTATGTGTTCATTTCTGACACAAATTGTTTAATTATCAATGAAAATATATGATTGATGGAGATATGCTGGAACAGAATGAACATTTTTTTCTCTGGGTATGGTGCAACCCCCCCCCCCCCCCTTCTCCCTTTTATTTCAAAATTATAAATTGTATCAAGTAAAAAGTTGGTATCTAATTGTGAACATTTTGAGCATTTAAGCATGAAATTTCTTCAAAGGGCAATAGTTTGTACCCCCTTCCCCTATTTTCAGATATTAGATTTCTCCGAAATATTCAAAAAAAAGGTTAAGGGTTACGCACAACTCTTTGTCTTGCCTGAGACTAATGCTGCTAGTTTAAAAGAGGAATGTTGAATTTCAAAACACAATTAAGTCTATTAATCAAAATAAGAAGATGTGTTACAATTGCCAATTAGATAACACTCCACCAGGGACCAAATGACCAAGCTATGTAAAATTTCTAGAAGGTTTAAAATATTTATCTAAATTTCAAAATAAGAATTTAAAAAAATAAGTTCGTTTATTTATCATGGTTTTTATTTCTAATATAGATGGCTACAAAAAAGCTTCAATAAAATTGAATATACATGTATGTAGCTAGATGACAGTTTCAAACTTGATTATTTTTTAATATTTATCCTTATACTGTTTGATCTCTTTCTAAATGTTTATATAAAAAAAAATTAGGCAAATTTTCCAGTATATCAACATGTAAGATATGGGGAAAGTAAAAAAAAAATAAATCTTTAGATCCTAGTCTATACAATTTAATAAAACTTCTGTTTAAGTTTCATATAATTCCATAAATATTTGACGAAGCTAGGCTTAGAAAAAAATACCTGTGTTTCTACTAACATGATGATGCTGAAAAAATAGGGTCATTAGCTATGCAAAGCATTGTATTTTCAAAATATTATATTATATTGAATGCATTTAAGGTTGGCATTAAAACCTATTGAAGGTAGGGTGAATTTGTTAGTAAAAATGTATTTTATTCATGCCTTATTGATGCAAAAGAAAGACTTAACTATTAACTAAAATTGAGAATGGAAATGTGGAATGTGTCAAAGAGACAACAACCCAACCAAACAGCAGAATTCAGCCGAAAGGCTGATGACTGAATGTAGGATTGCTGCGTCTCTTAATGCACCCGTTTTGTGCAAACTGAAATTAGAAGAAAATCTTTAGATGCTATTTCATGGTCTTGAAGATTAGCCTCTGTCCAACTTTCATTTCAATCTATGTCAAAAATACATAATCTCAGACTGTCTTTAAATTCTAACTGTAAAAAAACTATGTCGTTCTATCAGGAATATACTGAAAATGAAAAATAAAAGACTTTGTCGAAAATTTGCTTCAGGCATTATCTCTTAATCATAAAAAAACCTCTGCCAAATACACTTGAGATATAAAGTGTGCAAGATTCACCAAACAGCTTCGAAGGAAAGGTTGGTTAGTTATAAAGCCTGATCAATACTCCTCAAGTGATCAATACTAGATACATTTTTGTGTGGTTTTTAGTTACTATTAATTCTATTGCAAAAACAATGATCATCGGAGGGAAATCATTCATTTTCTTTCCTATAGTATGAATTAAACATAATAAAAGAATGGAGTTCCGTTGTTTCTCGCGTTGCACGTATTGTATCTATCCAGGGGCAATAACTAAAAAAACCATCTTTTTTCTTCTTTAAAACAATTTATAGACAAAAAGCGTGTGTGGGGGACATACAAGTTTTATTTATTGTACACTAAATATTTCAAACAGACCTTCAAAGTCACTACTTATAGTATATTAGTAAAAAAAACTGTGTTCCCGTGAGAGCACTAACGCGGCTACTTTCGATAAATTTAGTATTTCAAAAGGTCATAACTCTTTAAAAAAAGTCCATTGTCCATCATTATAGAACTTATCTAAGATATTTTTTATATTAACGTAGAGTATAAATTTTGTAAAAAATCTGGCAAAAATTGTACATGTGAGATCGCTGTGGGGCCATCACGGATTATAACTGGTTTTTTTTTATTTAATCGATTTGCCACACATATATGTATAACTTGTTTTAAATGTTGCTGATATTAACGTATAAGTTTCGTAAAAATCTGGTAAGATTTGTACTTGTGAGAGCGCTACCAAGACAGGACGGACAGACACAGGGACGGCCGGACGGACGGACACATTGACGGACGGACGCCCGGTATTCCCCAACAACGTATTACGCAGGGGACAAAAATAAGTGATATTTGCATGTTATATCAACTATTCTAAAATGAAATGCTTTTACATGTAACTATCGAAATTACTGACATGTATATACTAATGCGCAGAGTCAAATTATGTACACATAATGGATGTTAATATTTACCTCTTATGTAAATCTACATGTATGGAAACCTTTATGCAAATACTTACTATGTTAATTTCACTGTGTTTAAATTGAAATTGAAGAATAAACTACAGAACCATTCTTTCTATTTTAATATAATGATAAATCTAACTAATGCAAAAGAGCTTGAAAAAAAATGTGTAAATATAAAATTAATAAAATTTCGCGAAATTCCATGAATGATATTTGCACATGGCGTTCCTAAAGTTTCAGAATCAAATTTTGCAACAATATATTATAGTTAGGACCAGCAAGTTTTCATCAAGGCCCACTAGGAAAATATATATTTTGAGAATTATATAGATGCGATATCTTTGCCTTATACAAAAACAATTCAGTTTGGTTCTTTAAAAAACAATTAGTAGACAAGATGTCCTTTTCCATCATATTGCATACAAACATGGACAAGTTCTTATACAGTTGAAGGTTGATGTATATTTTCTCAGATAGAGTAAGTATGCCCCCGCCGTATCAAAGGGTCATTAAGTTGTACCCTTGTCCGTACGTACGTCTGTTCTAGAGTTATACCCCTTTACAAATAGAAAAAATGCTGAATTTTTCGTTTCCGTTCTTCAACTTAAGTAAGCCTCAACAAAATGTTTTGAAACTCATACACAATGCTTATTACCATAAAATATAAATAACATTTGAATTTTGTTGTTGTCACTTGTACTGCTTTTGAGTTATACCCCTTTACAAATGGAAAAATTGATGATTTTTTTTGTTTCCATTCTCTCTCTTTCGTCTGTCTGACATGGTTCATCTAATACTGACCTCATTTTCTTAGAACATTGATAATGTTAAGTTAATATGATACTTGTATTAAAATCTTTATATAACAGAGTTTCAACAGTAATTCAATAATGAATAATACCAACCAGACATTTCATGGTGCGCATTCTTGATTAGCAGATCTTACATTGTAGTATAGGGTTAAAGTTTTTTAAGGATCACTAATCAGTTTCAAACCAACAATGAGTTTCATTAAACTGTTACTCTAACTTCTTCATAGCCTTTTTGAAAGGGATAGTATCCTTAGCAATTTATTTTTAATTTATTCATTATGATTTGTTTTACTGATAAACATGTTTTGCTCATTGTTGAAGGATGTACGGTGACCTGTGATTGGTAATTTCTATGTCATTTGATCTCTGGTGGAGAATTGTCTCATTGACAATTATAACACATCCTCTATTTTTATATATTGACTTAAATGTTTTTTGGAGTTAAACGTTTTTCTTTTTCACTGAAAATACAGTCTCAGGCACCAAAACGGGTTATGCGTATCCATTATCATTTTTTACAAACTTCTGAGAAATCTTTCATATAAGGTTAATGCTATGGGAGGGGGTGAATATACTGCCCTCAACTATAGAAGTAATGTTGTGCTTAAATTTTTAAAATGCTTAGTTCACAAGAAATCACAATAAGATATCATATTTTTTCAACTAATTTTATAATTTTGCAACAAAAAAAAAATTATGGAATTTTTCAATAAAAAGGGGGGGATGCACCATACTCAGAGTGATTAGTTTTCATTTTATACAAGAATAACTTCATCAATCATGTATTCTCATTTAAAATTAACAAATGTGTGTCAGAATTGCACATGTAAATGGAATGTTTTAGCTTTTTAAGTTTAAAATGTTTGATTATTCCTCTGTTTGGCAATCTAAATTTTGTGAAAGTGGACAATTTTTAACTAAAATTATTTTTTAAAGAAAAAGAAAACACACGACTTTCTTTTTATTCTATGAATATATAGAATGTTGTCTTTCAAAATTTGTCAATGACATGGCATGGTACTGTTGGTCTTGGGAGATAAACAGATTTAAAATTTAGGAGTTTTTGAAATTTTTCATTTTCGAATTTTAACACATTTTTAAATGGTTGCTATGGAAACAAACTATTTAGTTAATTCAAAATTTTAACGTTTTTGAATAGTTTTGGGATTTTGTTGGCAACACTGTAAAAAAACGTGTTGTTTGTATTAATTAACTTTATTTCAATGGTTCTTTAAAATCCCTTATTTTCAATTTTCAATGCTACTTTTGTACATATTTAGGCAAAATTTTGTAAGGATGGTTTCCATGGTAACCAAGGTTCAAAAGGAAACAAAATATAAAGATATTTAAAGAGGGTTCATGAATCGCCCATCAACAGTAACCTGCATGATTCTTACAAAGACAGGTACTTTAACTGTCAATTAATTTGTTGTAGACTTTTTACCCTTGAATTGACACAAAGGTACTCCGTGGATTGTGACATCAGTGAAAATAAGAAAAAAAAACCTCCCTCCTGAAATTATTGTTGTTTTACAACATGCAGAGCTAATTGGCGGATCCCCCTTATTCTTTTTTTTTTTTTTTTTTATTATGTGAACGTTTCATGGTGTTCTGGCAGTTGCAACCCTCAGTTTTAAAAATGGCTGGTTCCACACCTGGATATTGTGTTTATATTGATCTTTCAGGAGCAAGTTCTGGCATAGGAGAAGCCACCGCTATTAAGTTTGCAGAACGAGGTGCCAGATTATTTTTAGTGGCTCTTGAAGAGGACAAATTGCAAAATGTACAACAAAAATGCAAGAAAATGGGTTTAGTGGAAGAAAAAGTAAGCTATTTAAACTTGATGTGATTAAAATTTTCTGCTTATTTATCAAGATCATCATAACAATTTTATAACATGTATACTCAATCTTGTTTTCTAGTGTTACATAGACTAACATTGAAATACCTGGATTGAAGGATGAATAAATTACCGTTTAACGTCCAGTGGCAAATGTTACACGCATACTAGGACGAGAAGATGTCAATGTGTTACGAACATGAACCCTGCTTTGTTCTTTACAGACACGTGCACGTTATGAAATATAGAAACAAGAAGATGTGGTATGATTGCCAATGAGACAAGTCTCAACAAGAGACCAAATGACACAGAAATGAACAACTATAGGTCAACGTACGGCCTTCAACAATGAGCAAGGCCCATACCGTACAGTGCTCGTGAATATATATTACCATACCTGGACATGTTATTCTGAATCCGAGCCGACCGTGCGGTCTGCCGTACGCTTTAATGATGTGTGCTTATTTTTTTATTTGATCATGCCTTAAATAGAACCCTCAAACTCTCGCACTCGAGGCCAGAATGCTACCACGAAATTTCTGTAATTACTCTTTTTTTCATTAAAATACACGTAGGATGAAATATAATAATTGGCATATATATTGTAAAGACATTTGAATGAGGGTTTGGATGGGCTTTACAGAGTAGAGAATAATGAGCCAAATCTACAGCAAAATGGGGGTCTTGATGGGCTTTACAGAATAGAGAATAATGAGCCTAATCTACAGCAAAATGAGGGTCTGGATGGGCTTTACAGAGTAGAGAATTATGAACCAAAACGAATATTCTGCATCACAAAGTGCAGGTATCAATCGTGTATAAAAGTGAAAATAAAAAAAAACATGCGCAGCAGCAGATGAAAATGAAAAGTACATCCGAAAAAAAAATCCTGCTGACCCAATCCCCCCCCCCCCCCTCTCCCCCCCCCCCCCAAAAAAAAAAAAAAAAAAAACGGTATCAAATGATCGTTTCTTTGTCATAAATTACATTGTTTACCAACCCAAGTTTTGTGAAAGTTCTATTTCATAGTTACAAAAATATCAATTCATTCAATATATACTATACATGTATAAACACAGTGTTAAGAATTGTTAGATACTGTATTGTAGAGGTCACTAAGTCTTGATAAATACATTGGTAAAGGGGCATGCATTAGCTGTCAATTTCATGTTCACCGAATTGAGTCAAATTCTCATATTTGATTTATAGTCTAATAAAAGGTATATCGAACTAGAAAAAAAGGTCGATATTGTGTATCCGCATTTCGTGTGTATTTAGGCCAAGACGCCATCTAATTAACCATCGAGGTGACATCCGAAGACTGCCGACGATCATATAACCCGATATAAACATAAATATAGATATACATAGATAGCGAAACGTGCAATTGGATTTTTCTAGGTCTGTTTGATTTCATTTTATAGGTTAAACAAATATGTTAATCATCGTTTTTACCTGTATAAGAATGAGTTTTTGTGGATTGAATCAGTCAACCAAATGGTTTATCCTTGTTTCACTTTCAATGTTGGCATTCTTTTCCATTTGATAGCCGAACACGCCTAGTTCATGCGTAACCCATCTCTAACTAAGGGGTTAAATAGAAGGTCACATGAATACGGTTTTAATGAGGTCGAATTATTCACTTGCAAGTGAATAATTCATCAGCGATGTTTCTTAGCTCATTTTGACAAAATTGAACCAAACTGGCTGCTAAAAGCGAATTATTATTTCACTGTTTCACTTGCATTAATGATTTGATAAAAAAAAAAATCATATTTATTTTTTGTAATGTCTCGTAGATAATGCCCCTTTAACGGAGCCAAGTATATACAAATATCAAATGTTAATTGAATGGTGTAAGAAACCATGTCATGTAGATGTATTAACGAAGTGTCTAATGTATTAATGTATTTGAGCACATTCGTTGAACAAGTTAACAGCGGTAAATGTTAGCTTAGTTTCAGGAAATAGGGTTTTCATGTATCCGAAAATACGTCAGATATTGTTTAAAATGACGAATTAACGTGTTAGCCTATATGTAACACATTGTATATACCCTTGTTCCTTTAGTTAACGCCTTCTTGCTGCGCACCTATTACACGATGAAAGAGGGGTTTCTAGCAGGACTTAATTTATGATATATTATTTTTTTTCTCAAAGTTGGCTTCATATTTTTATGAATGATTTATATTCATTGTAGTTTTACTATTGCGACTTGCAAAATAAATGTGCACAAATGTAAAAAAATCTAATAAAATCTTGTGCGCAATCTAAAAAAAAATGTAAATCCCTAATGCGCCCAAATGTAATGCGCCCGTGAAATTTTGTGCATTCCATTTGTATGGGAATTTTAAATAATAATGGTTGTATTTAATGAGTTATTTTTTTTTTACTCTGGTTGATTTTACAAATTTACCATGTAGTCCTGATTTAGTTTGTGAGTAGATAGGTAGAATTTATCCATATTGAAAATAACCCTTTTTTACTATAAGTACTGATATATTATCCCATTTAATGTAACGCATGATTATATTTTCTTCTTAGATAGGATATTGCAGTGGTGACTTATCTCAATCTGCCTTCAGGGAAGAAATTGTAAGGAAGCTGATACAGAAATTTGGAAGATTGGATATATTGGTTTGTTTTATATAATATATTTTGTGCACCATTATAAAAGACAATATGATGTAAACACCAAAGAAGCAGCGACCCAACAAAACTAAGTCAACATCCAATTAATATTCGGTCCATAGATACAAACAATCATCATTTGTATATGACATAGTGCTAACATTGGAAATGATACCTTTCCAAATTAAAGTTTTTTATGCGGAACGTATCAAAATGTTCCAAAATGTTTATCATTAATCGTCTAGACACAGTTTGAGAGAATACGATTTAGAATTAACATGTAATACATGTAACCAAACTCCTGTCACATAAATAAAAATCTTAATTCCCATCATTTTCAGCGACATACTTTCACTTAGAACAAATTATTGTGATCTCACGGTATGTTTGCAAAGTATTTACAACAATTGGAGGTAGTGTAGGCAAACATTTCTTATTATGATTTATCATTCACGATGTCTTGAACGAATGATACATGATAAAGAAGAATAGGTTAGCTATAGTGCTATAGTAGCATCAGGACCGACAACTTTTGTTTCTCTAAAAGAAAGTCATAATGAGAAATTAAATATTTTGTGTTTTGTGGATTTTAACTATTTCAGAATCTGTATTTACATAGATGCGTTACTATTTATCGGCAAAACGTTCAGGTTTTGGCAATCAAACCAAAAACATACAAGATAGTACAGCGATTCATTTTGCCATACAAAAGCAGTGATAAAGTATCAACTTGATGATAGAAAAATAGACCCAATCCAGTTTTCATTGCAAAACATAACAATAAAACATCTGCTGAAAGTGTAACTGCATCTAGTAAATTTGAGATAAGGACACTATTCTTGTTTTATCAAAACAGATTGCTCTAATAGAATAAGAGAAAAGCATTATTTATTACTTCTATGCAAATAAGATATATGTAGTCCCAAATCTTCGTGGTTACACTACAAAAGTCTAAAAGTCTGAAAAGACCAGTTTTTGTCTAAATTTGCATGAACTTTTACTCGACATTCTCCAAAAGTATGACTTGTGTCTTAATTTTTCTTGACAAATTCTCATTTATATTAAATTTGTATGAAATTTACTCGACATATTCTCGACATTCTGAATATGGTCTTAAAATTTCTTGACAAATTCTTGATATTTGAATACTGTCTTGAAATTTCTCGACATATTCTCGACATTCTTATTTTTTCTCAGTATGGCTTGACATATTCTGAACATTTTGAATTGTGTCTTAAATTTACTTGACAGTTCTGAGTTTTACAAATCATGACCAATATTCATGATATAACTTTAATCTTTATTTCTCTTTATATGATATACTGTTGTTTCAAGTTACACTTCTTTACAACAAAAATAAAAGTTGGGCATGTAAAATAATTGAAAATTTGGGTATATAAATATTTTTACAAATCCAAATATGGCTATGAAATCTAAAGTATAAAATAATTCAAATTTTGGTAGTGTTGATATAAAACAATTTCAATGTGGGTTTTTAAATAATTACAAATTTTGATTCCTAAATCTTATAAATTAAATGATTCAAACCAATCATACTGTAGACATATTTCATTTTTCATTCATAATATTCAATGTTGATATGGTAAATAATTATTATACCAAAATGTGGTTTATATAAATAGCAAATTATGATGATATACAAATCATTCATTTAACAGAAAAAAATTTGTGTAATGTCATCTGTTGGAATATATTAAGTATTACACATGGACAGGATGTTCCCCATAAAATTAAGGTATTCCACACCCCAGAGTACACGCAACTGTCAAATAGAGACCATGCCACTACAAAAAAAGTTTGTTGATAGATGAAAATGAAAATCATCATTTTGATGAAAAAAAAATTGAATTGAAATGGATTTTCTTCATCAAAATTATGAAGTTAATTATTTTAACATAAAAACAAATTGAATAATTCCCAAAGATTAAAAGATAATTATTATCTACTCCAGGAATAATAAAAAAAATGTATTTATAATGGGTCCCATCAATGATTTCTATAGAAATCATCGGTCTTATGAAATGGTTCTCAAACAGACATGCATAATATAAATCTAAACATTTTTTTTCTTTTCAGGAAGGAGTTATCACAAATATTTATTTTTGATAAAAAATTATAAAATTCAACACTCAAATTTGAATAAAAAATGTTTTTGGGTTGTTCTAAAAAATGAATAAGGTTTTTGAATCAAGATGGGAACAAATTCTTTGACCTAAACGAAAGCCCCCCCCCCCCCTCTTTTTTTAGCCACACAAACCCAAAAGATGAATTGTGGGGTCCAAAAGAGATACAAGACACCTATTTTAGTAAAGCAAATTTGACTGGCAGTTTTGCGAACGGCAAAAATCTAAATGCTGTTTGTCAATACCTTCGACTTATATTCCAAGTGAAAACAATTACTTAAATGTTTAATAAAAATAAATCAAAATTAAACTACATGGGGGATTATTCAGGGTATTCCAACTTAGTTGCACCAAAAGGGTATCTTACTATACCAAATTAATCCTTGATTCTTCAAAGTTTAGTTTAGCCATAATAAAAAGGAGTACATAACAGCAATAGAATGTCATAAACAGTGCAGAATAAGTCTGTTCACATTTCAGGCGAAATTTATACTGTTGAGATAGTGTCAAGATATATTTAAGACTGTCAAGAATGTGTCAAGACATATTCAGACATTATTTAGAATGTCAAGAATATGTCGAGACATATTCAGACATTATTAAGAATGTCAAGAATATGTCAAGACAGATCGAGACAAATTTAAGACAGTCAAGAATTGGTCGAGACTAATCCAGACTCTTATCAGATGATACAGGAAGTGTCGAGAAATTTTAAGACAATGTTCATACTGTCAAGACAATTGTCAAGAAAAATCAAGAACCTTATTAGACAAATTCATACTATGTCAAGAATTTTTAAAAATTATTCAGACAAATTAAGAATGTCGAGTAAAAATTCATGCAAATTCAGACAAAAACTGGTCTTTTCAGACTTTTTGACTTTTGTAGTGTTAACGCCACTCAGATATGAGAAGACTTCATCTCATATATGCACATACGTTTCAGGCTGATATTGCAGGCTCTGTTATGTTTTTTAATGTAAGTGAAACTAAGGAAGAGGATTACGACAGATTCGTCAGTGTGAACCAGAAGGCGAAATTGTTTTTGGCACAACTATGCTTGCCATATCTCAAAGAAACAAAAGGTTTGTTAGTATGAGGGAAAACTAAATTCTTTCTGTCACAACTATGCTTGCCTCATCTCAAAGAAAACAAAAGGTTTGTTAGTATGAAGGAAATCTAAATTCTTTCTTACACAACTATGCTTCCCTTATCTCAAAGAAATAAAAGGTTTGTCAGCATAAGAGAAAACTAAATTCTTTCTGTCACAACTATGCTTGCCTCATCTAAAAAACAACAGGTCTGTTGGTATGAGGGGGAAAATATAAGGAATGGTACATTTAATTGAATTTGACTATGAAAAAAGAATATAGGGTTCAGTAAATTTACGTGTTTGCTAATTACCAGGCGGAAGGGAAACTATACAATTGGAGAGACGACGTGACAATGGAATTTGCTAGAACAACTTAAATATTACCAAGGGGAAGCAAACGTCTGAGGCAGAATTAAGTATTGGCGCAATTTCATATTTTCAGGAGAATGCAACAAAAATTGTTAAGATACATTGTAGGGTTACTTTCATGTTCATTGTATCAAAAGTTAAGATGAATATACATTTTTAATAGCAAATATGGAACATCGCATGTATATGTAAACTGTTATGTAAACAAATTCGCCTCTTTTTGATACATACAATCATGAAAAATACTTTTTAAGTAATTAAAAATTTTCAATGTAGGTAATATAATCTACATGTCGAGTATCCAATCCAAAATACCGGTAAGTATGTTTAATTTATAATTTAATAGTTTATGTATTCTTCAAATCTGACCTTATCAAAATAAAAATGAAATCGTACAGTTCCTTTCGAACATCGTGATAATTCAAACGGCACCCAACAACACAACAAAAACATCCGTATGTCAATATACTGTCTTCAACAATAATTTGTATGCAATTGCATGCTGTTTAATTACCATCTGAGCAGGAAAGCAGTTTTCTTGGGAAGTTAACCATATATTTGCACTTAAAAGATAAAAAGAAAACCACAAATGTTTGAAATCATAGAATCTATCATGAAAGCACATTTGGAATGTCTTACATATTTCACTCCTTAGTAACTTCGTTACTTAAATTGTAATTTACATTTGTAATGCAAAATTACTATGTAAAATTGAAATGTAAATAATTTGTTTTTTTATGTTTTTCAGAACCCAGAATTAGTAGTTTACTGCATGGCAAAAGTGGCTATTGATATGCTTACAAAATGTCTAGCCAAAGGTAAAAGATATTTATTATACAGTAATATTTCTAGATGAAAAATTTAAAAGGAATTGCCGGTATCGTCAACCAATCAAAATCATTGTAAAATGTTCTGACTTGTAATTGATTGCATTGACTTTTCCAAAATAAAAAGAATTTTAACAAATTACTTTTGTTGCGGTACAGTGTTTGATTTCATTTTTATCTTTTTTTAGCATCTGTCCATTTTTTTCTAATCTAACGTTTATTTAAATAAGTTGTACAATAATGTTTAAGCATATTCTTCCCCAGTTGTCTGTCCGTACACCAACTAAATGATCCCTTACGATCAGAACCATTGTTGAAACACCCCCCCCCCCCCTTTCTTTCACAAAATGTGTTAAGCTCAATATAAAATTGAGAATGGAAATGGGGAATGTGTCAAAGAGACAACAACCCGACCATAGAACAGACAACGGCAGAAGGTCACCAACAGGTCTTCAATGCAGCGAGAAATTCCCGCACCCGGAGGCGTCCTTCAGCTGGCCCCTAAACAAATATATATACTAGTTCAGTGATAATGAACGCCATACTAAATTCCAAATTGTACACAAGAAACTAAAATTAAAAATAATACAAGACTAACAAAGGCTAGAGGCTCCTGACTTGGGACAGGCGCAAAAATGCGGCGGGGTTAAACATGTTTATGAGATCTCAACCCTCCCCCTATACCTCTAGCCAATGTAGAAAAGTAAACGCATAACAATACGCACATTAAAATTCAGTTCAAGAGAAGTCCGAGTCTGATGTCAGAAGATGTAACCAAAGAAAATAAACAAAATGACAATAATACATAAATAACAACAGACTACTAGCAGTTAACTGACATGCCAGCTCCAGACTTCAATTAAACTGATTGAAAGATTATGTCTTCATCATATGAATATCAGGCACAATCCTTCCCGTTAGGGGTTTAGTATTATACCATCATAACATATATGAGAAGAACATAACCCGTGTCATGCCAACAACTGGTTTTTAAATAATTGTGTTTAGTGCCGATGCAAAGACCTTATAAGTGAATCAATATTAACGCCAAAATATGCAATCTTTAATGACCTGACAACAGTATCGTAACTATATCCCTTCTTAATAAGTCTATTTAAAGGTTTTGTTAGCTTCAGAGGTGAATACTGACATTTTTGTGCTTTATAAAGAATATTTCCATAAAAAATTGGATGTGAAATACCTGAACGTATAAGAAGTCTGCATGTTGAGCTATATTTACGAATGATGTCCTTATACCGATGATAAACTTTAGTAAATGTTTTGACTAGTTTGTGATATCGAAAACCCTGGTGTAATAATTTTTCAGTAATACATAAATTTCTCTCGTTAAAATCTAAAACATTGTTACATACACGAGCGAATCGTACAAGTTGAGATATATAAACACCGTAAGATGGTGACAAGGGAACGTCACCATCTAAAAATGGATAATTAACGATAGGAAATGAAAAATCATCTCTTTTATCATATATTTTAGTATTAAGCTTTCCATTAATGATATAGATATCAAGATCGAGGAAAGGGCAGTGGTCATTGTTAGTATTAGCTTTATTTAAAGTAAGTTCAACAGGATAAATTTCTTTAGTATACATACTGAAGTCGTCATTATTGAGAGCCAAAATATCATCCAAATATCTGAAAGTATTATTAAATTTGTGTATCAGATGTTGTTTCGATGGGTCTTTGCTGATTTTTGTCATAAATTGTAACTCATAGCAATACAAAAAAAGGTCCGCAATAAGTGGTGCACAGTTAGTCCCCATTGGAATTCCGATAACCTGACGATATACGGAATCTCCAAAGCGAACAAAAATGTTATCTAGTAAAAATTCAAGGGCATATATAGTATCAAAGCATGTCCAATTGACATAGTTTTTTTGTTTATTGCTACTAAAAAATGACCTAAAAGAGTTTGAACATATATATTCACATTCTGACTTTTTAAATGCCCATTTAATTAGGTGTGTGAATTTTTTCTTAATGAGAATGTGAGGCAATGTGGTATATAGGGTAGAAAAATCTAAACTTTGAACAGATTCAAAATCACCAATATATGCATGTAATTTATCAAGTACTTCTAACGAGTTCTTGACACTCCAAAGGTAATTAATTCCACTATTTTCGAAGGCCTTATTTGAACAATTTATTATCAGGTTTTTGATTGTACCAAGTGTACTGGTAAGAAGAATAGACAATTTAGTAGTGGAACAATGGCTTGAAGACGAAATAAATCTATATTTGTAAGGTGTTTTGTGTAGCTTCGGAAGCCAATACATAGTTGGGACTTTCATTGTATTTGGTTCTGCTTGTAAAGCGGTAGCTAAAAGTTTATGTTTGTTACAGATGTCGTTTTCTGAAAATGGAGTCAGTTGGAATGTTGGTGAATTGGTGATTTCTTTTTTCAGAACCTCAATGTAAAATTTACGTCAAACAATAATAATATTATTAGCAGCTTTATCGGCCGGGACAAAAACAAATTCCTTGGCTAGTTCTTTTAGTTTATGTTTGATACGAGAAATAGGTTTATTGTGGTTATTGTTAAGAGTAAAATGTTCTTTAAAATGTTGAATACGTATATCAACTATGTTCATTACTGAATTAAAAAAAGAGTCCTAAGATTTTTTGTCAGCTTTTTCCCGTTTTATCCATTTCAAACAGTAAGTATGGAGTGAGTCGTGGATGATATTACGACACTCATTCCAATTAATAATTGACGGGGGACGATATTTAGGTCCTTTACTGAGGAATGATTTTAATAATATACATGTTGAAAACACTGGATCTTATCTAGAAAATATAATAGGCTTAACTTTATCATTGAACAAAATATTGATTAAATAAATTTCTTTCAGAACTAGGTCCTCACGGTGTAAGAGTGAATGCCATCAAGTAAGTTCTAATTAATGGGAAATGTAGTACCTAGAACGTTGTTACCAAGTACCTTGATTTGTTATCAATAAACAGTTGGTCCCTTAACCTTCAGTGACAGATGTAGTATTTACAATTATGTTGATATTTGTCAGTTCAAGTTTGTTTACGTTAATCAGCTGTCGGTATTATAAACTCTATGCATCATCGGATGCAGTGACATGAGTTATGACTTTATCTAAGATTCCCACGATCTGTGTTTCTACTTTAATGTTTGTTATATAAACATTTTTTGCTGTTGATTCTAGTTAGTTTATATTAAACCATGTAACCATAAAGTTGTATGTTTATTCCAAGGTGCCTTGAGCGCGTATACTACACCAGATATTTAAAAATTATGCCAGATATAACCATTAATATCAATGGCATAATTAAACTCCTTAAAAATATAAACCCCCATAAAGCTAGTGGGCCTGATAATATCCCTGCTATTTTCCTTAATAAACTCTCAGAAGAGATATCCCCCTTCCTTGTATTCTTTTTTCAAAAATCCATAAATGATGGAAAAATCCCAGAAGAGTGGAAATAGGCAAATGTTGTGCCAATTTTTAAAAAGGGAGATAAGCATAATGCAATTAACTATAGAACGGTTTCTTTAACGGCTATATGTTGTAAGGTTTTAGAACACGTCTTAACAAGTAACATTAGAAAACATTTAGATTTAAATAATATTTTAAATGATTGCCAACATGGCTTTAGGAGTAAACGTTCCTGTGAAGCACAACTTGTTATCAGCATCCAGGACATAGCCAAATACTTAGCAGAAGGTAATCAAGTTGATGAAATACTTTTAGATTTTTCCAAAGCTTTTGATAAGGTCCCCCATGAAAGGTTAATAACAAAGCTTAATTATTATGGTATACGTGAAAATAACTTACTTTGGATAAAAGATTTTTTGTCAAACAGGCAACAGCAAGTCCTGCTTAACGGTGTTCACTCTTCCAAATTAGCTGTTGACTCTGGTGTTCCTCAGGGCACAGTATTAGGCCCAACTTTATTTTTGTTATTCATAAACGACCTACCTGAGCATGTCTCCTGTAAGGTTCGTCTTTTTGCTGACGACTGTTTACTTTATGAAACATCAAATAATATAAATGAGTCTCAAGCACTCCAAAAAAATCTATCAAAACTTGAAAATTGGGAATCTGAATGGCAAATGAAATTTAATCCTGAAAAATGCTATGTCATAGATATTTCTAAAAAGTCGAAAACTAATTTATTTCAATATAAATAACATAACCATGTACTTGAATCTGTCAAAGACAGCAAGTATCTAGGAGTTACTATAAGCAATGATCTTGATTGGGGGCCCCATATTAATAATATAACTTCAAAGGCAAATAAAACACTAGGATTTTTACGTAGAAACATGAAAAATTGTACACGTAAGGTTAAAAACCTTACGTACACATCACTTGTGCGTCCGACCGTCGAGTACTCCTCACCAGTTTGGGATCCGTACAAACAAAGCCAAATAAACAAAATTGAGCAGATACAGCGTAATGCAGCAAGATATAATTTTAATGACTATAACGATAGATCACCAGGTGCTGTCACTGGTATGTTAAACAAACTAAAATGGGAAAACTTGCAATCCCGTAGAACAAAAGCTAAGATTGTCTTGATTTATAAGATTAATGGGGGGTTGGTCGAAGTCACTAATGACGTCCTGACACAATCTGACAGGCGAACTAGAGGCCTACATAAATTTCGACATATATATACAAATAAAGACTTTTTTAAATCATCTTTTTTCCCAAGTACTATTGCTGTCTGGAACGATCTCCCAGAAACAATTTGCATGTCACCCTCCCTAGAATCCTTCAAAGGTGGTATCTCCACCTTAACATTTGGAGGTTCTAGTCTGGCTAATTAATTAGTGTATGTAAGCCACTGTACATAATGTGAATATGTTTAACATTAAGCTTCAACTAATGTTATTTTAAATTGTAATTGAACTGTGGCAAATATTTTTATCTTATAACAAAATTTTCGACATCCATTTGCATGTACATAGCGCCACAGTTCCGGAATATTCCACACTCCGGCATCGGAGTCTTTCCCGTACCAGGAAGAAGAAGAAGAAAAGAGTATATGTGATTTCAATACACAATGCTTTTGCCATTTGCTTTTAATAGGCAGAGACTACAGTTTGTCTTGTATTGTCCTGCATTCTGCAAAGAAATCTAATCTAAAATTGTATAAATGTCTGTAATTTGAAACAGACAAAAGCTTGAAGTGTATTCAATGGCGAATGGCCGTTGTATGGTGTCTGTCCGTCCGACATGACTAGCGAGCTGGTCTTACAATGTACCTCTTTTTACGGATCAATGAACAACCTTTTAAAGTTTTCATTTAAGTCAGTTTCTCATTTATTATGATTAATAATCCATCGGTACTTGGTCTATAGAATGGTTGTTACAAGTATTAGGTGCACATGACAGCCTGACAGAGGTCAACTGATCTTTGCAAATTGTCTTCCTCGGCACTATATGTAACATTGATTTTATTCTAAAGAGTTTAATACATAACTGGACAAATATTGCTATCGAGTTATGGGACTGCATCATGTCGATAATTATATTTTTGTACAACACGCGACGATGTCATGGTTTTCTCCGAATGCTTATGACGTCTTCACACTAAATCCTTTGAAGATGCAATGATTAGTCTTTAGTCTAAAAAAACATGGTCTATATTTCTTAGTTAACGTTGGTCTATTAATTAGCTTTAAATTACTCCAGTACTTTGGTTCTATGTGTCTTTTGTCATGATGTTAGTTGCATTCAGCTTTATACCGATCTACGGCTCTTTCCAACTGATATTTACGTTTATTCTAATGATGTTCTGTTACCCCAGTGTCCCAGCTCAAACAAACATGTTAACCCCACAACATTCTGAATGCGCCTGGAAGATGAAACCCCCCCCCCCCCCCCCCCCAAGTTTGCAGAAGTTACATTTTTAAGGGAGATAACAAAAGAAAGATATTTAATTTTTTTGTAAATTTATTGAAGTGTTAAAGCGTTGACCGAGGTACATTTTGTATGAAGCGCGAGAGCGCTTTATTCTAAAAATGTGAGCACGGTCAACGCTTTTACAACCCTATAACATTACTAAAAGAAGCATTCAATACTTATAATTACTTTTTTTTTTTTTGCTAGGATCATGAAAACACGATTCTACCAAGTTTTTCTTTATTTACCTGTGCACTTTATAGTGGAAGCTCGTGTCATCATGAATGTTACATTTTCATTTTGTAATGAAGGTTAATTTCAGAATGTTGCGAGATTGCTGTTAGCCAATCAAAATAACGTTATATAATGAAACATACATGTAATGTAATTATTTCAATATGATGACAGTAATTAAATTACTATTATAGCAAATGCCAACTTTTGTCATTCTATTTCTTAGTTTTGTTTCTTTTCTGATAAATGCTTTCTTATATTTAAATATAATCTATTTTAATATTCATTATTCATTTATGTTTACTCAGTTTATCGTACATGTGTTACTTTATTGTATTCTGTTATCAAATTGTAGTCCTGGCTTCATTGATGATACCAATATTCTTCGTAATAGTTCTAGGAAGAATACAGATGAAGACCAAAAGAAGGTATATTGTTCCGTCAATAAATTATGAATAGAGTCGACCTAGGAGTCGATATCGCTGTAATTCACTCTTAAAATAGATATGATTCTTTGTCCAGGTTTTGGATGACTTTTAGTTTGATTTTTTTTTATTTAGCCCTTCAACGTTTGTATTAGGTGTTTGGTTTTTACATATGTTGGCCTTATGTTTCACTGAAGAGACATAAGTTGTCAAAATGTGAATATGGTGTCAGGTGCATTGTAACTAGTACCGTGAATGTTGTTATTGCAATACCCAATGAAAACAATTACCTAAACGGAATTTTGGTGTTTTGTCTTTTTTTGGTCGATATGCAACAAATATTTTAAATTTTGGCTTTCAAAGCATTACGTCTCGAACGTACCTGAAGCAGATTATTTCCGAAATTCATGTCAGCCAATTTCGATATCTTTGCATCTTGTATTTCAATGTCTTAAATTACTTTTTTTCTTTATAGTTTGTAGACAAGTATGCAAAACTAGCACACCTAAAAAGGGTCGGAAAACCAGCAGATGTTGTTTCCCTCTTGCTCTTCTTGGCGTCAGATGAAGCATCGTACATTACCGGGAGTACCAACACTATCGATGGTGGATTTCATTTATATCCTTGAACAATATTCTATCATCTCTGGTCACGATATGATTCAGATTTCAGACTTTTAGTGTAATTAACAACCATACTATATATGGTCTGTATTTTGGCATTCCCTGATTAAAAGATGCATCATTTTTAAAATAAAGTTTGAAATGGGATTTCATGCTATATAGTATTAATTCTATGGTCTTGTTGGCAGACCTTCGAAGATTAAGCCCAACAATTAAAAAAAAAGTAAATGTCGTGGCCTTTTATAGTCGACTATACAGTGTTTAATTCGTTTTACTTATTGATGATGGCCGTACGATTGCCTATAATTGCTTACATTCACTTCATTTGAACTTTGGTGGATAGTTGTCGCATTGGCAATCATACCACATCTCCTCCTTTTACAAAATTAGAATATACAAAAAAAACGACAAAACATCTGTCTTGTCCTCATGGTTAAATCTAAGATTTGTTGCATAATTAATAGCAACGGATTACAGTTAATACAGTGATTAAAAATCACATCACAAAAGTTAACACAAAAACGTGTATCAAGTGGAGTACTTTATATAAGTTATATGGTTTGCTACTAACCCCTCAACTGATCCATAGAGGGTAAGTAAAATTCATAGGATGTGAGGTCAAAGGTTAGTAGTGAACCGTTTAACGAATTTATCGCACACGGGAATTTTCCTGCTAAGTTATGTATAAAAATAAGCAATGAAATACAGTGATGACGTAACCATCAATTGTTACATGTAACATGACGCCATGAATCCCATATGAAATCTACTGAACCCATAGGGGTCACCACGTGACGGCGATATACCAATCATAACGTCATAATGCTTGTTGTAAATTCTTTGCCATGTTAGTTTTTCGTTTATAGCTTTTAGAATAAACCAGATCGTATGTTTCCTCATTTGAATTGTTTCACATTTTGTCATGCTTACTTATTGTTATTGGTTTTGCTCATTGTTGAAGGTCGTACAGTACCATATGAAGACCAAATCGTATTTAGGGGTTCCTTCATGACGAATAACGGTAAAAAAAATCTTGCCAAATGACGTTATCGGTTATTTTTGGCGCATGACGATAAAATGTACATTTTCTTTATGACGATAACAAAATCGACTAATTTTTACGAATCACGTTAAATTCTTTTCGAGAATAACGGTAACAATAATTATTCGAGACCTCTGACGAATCACGATAAGGATATTTTAACGAACCACGATAAAAATTTTCCTTTGATCTTCTAGTGCGTTAACTTCAGTTATTTTCAGAGGAGTGCGTTAACTGAATGATGTTTAAGTTATTGCACTCTCCAGTTCCGCCGTTGACCGCTTGTCATAGAAAAGGCATAGAGTGGTAGGAGCTTAGACCAGTGCAATAATTAATTCTTAGATAAAGTTTATGCACATGCCCAAGCTCCTCCTACTATGTTTTACATATGAGGCTCCGCCTCCTTGGACTTCCCGATGTTCTCTTCTGGTTTTCTTAGTTGTTTGGGCGGGGGAGGCTTTGGAATAAATATCCACGTCATTTGAACTTTGTTGGATAGTTGACTCATTGGCAACCATACCACATCTTCTTATTTTTATATACTTGAGGTGAATAAGCAAAAGCACGTTTCTAACGACGAACATCGACGAGGGGAGGGGGTGGCGGCGGGGGTTGTCCTAAATATTGCAAGTAACACATTGACACTCTATTTCAAGTATCATATTTTGTATGGACTGCAAATGCAATAGTCGTATCTTTGGTAGGCTTAAAATGTTATTTGTTCTCGTACAATGCTCAACTAAACTATTGTACTGAAAATGGACGCCTGCATGTGAACTTTCACAAAATGCAAAACCGTTAGGATAAAAAAAAACACTCCTTTTCTCCTGGAATAAACAAAAACAAAAAAACAAAAAAAAAACAACAAAAAAAATGAAAAAAAAGAAATTTCGCCTTCATTGTCAATAAACAGACATGATACTGTCCTTAATTGAAATTAAAGTTACAATTTGAAAAACTGAGAGCGCCTCCGTGCATAGTTGTTACATCAATCAAACAGTGCTTCTCCTCATTTTTCATTTTATAACCATCATCTGCGCTAGTTTTGTTAGCTCTCACTGATGCCGTGGAGCGGTGACCAGTTCTCGTCATGATTTCTTGTTCATCAATACCTGCATGGTATAGGGCGGTTGCACAAGTGAATTTTCAGGAATGATTCGTTCAGTTCCCTAAAAGTCCACCTTTTTGACATAGCTCGCGCATTAGTCCGTGTAATTTATTCTCTCCTAGTGCTGATTTTCCATTATGACAACGATCTTTCCCATCGATGTTGAGCGGTTTTCGATAAAATGTTCCGGAGCCCACAGCTTTCAAGTACTCTTCATAGTAAGCAATTATGCATCTTGGACCTACAAATCAAATCAAATCAAAAGAGTTTCTTTCCGCTTCCTTCTATTCAAAGAAAATTATTACAGTTGCAGTTATATTCTGCAAAACTTATTGTGTATATTATAACTTCGTATATGAGCTTTTGGTTTGAAAATGATTGATTGATTTTTGCTGTTTAACGCCAATTTCAGCACAATTGGGTGTATCGTGCAATGGTATGTAAAGCTTATGCTCTTTCGTTTTAGCTTTTTATTTGAAAATGATTGATTAGTTGTTGCTGTTTAACGCCACTGTCAGCATTATTGGCTATATAGTGGTGGTCCGTTTTTTATTGGAACATGAAGCCGGAGTGCCCGGGTTGAATAAAATAATATTAAAAAGAATATAAAACGGGTACATCCGTAGAATAATTTATTCAAATAATCAAATTAAAGCAGTGCATGTATATTCAGAAAAACTTATCGTGTATATCATAATTTCGTATTTGAGCTTTTGATTTGAAAATGATTGATTGATTGTAGGTGTTCAATGCCACTTTCAGCACTGTAAGCCATATCGTGGCCGTCATTTTTTTTTTTTTTTTTTTTGTGGATAAAGCCGGAGAGCCGGGTTGAATAAACTAATATAAAACAATATTTCTTTTCAGAATGAAGTTTAAATTGACAAAAGTATATAAAACGGGTACACGCGTAGAATAATTTTGTCAAATAATTTTTCGTGTTTGAATTGGTCATTATAAATTATGTAAATTAAACAACTTACCGCCCTGTGAATAGTGCTTTATATCTTTATTCGCCGAGGCCACCTTCAAATGTCTTGTTTTTTCTCCCGATGAATCTAATAAACTTACCTGTAGAATCAATACCAATTTCAAACTAATCACAATCAAGATTTCTGTTCTCGTCGCAGCCTCTTAATCCAAATAACTTTGGACAGGAAATCTTTCATCTTGGCATCTAATACACGCCTAAACGGAGTAAAGCGACCATCCTTTTCATTCAGAAAGTTTTTGTCGTTAACATTCATGTCTCTGAGGTGTTAGTAGACCACAAACGATATAATATATAGAGATTTGGGTAGGTAATCGTCTCCCTTCTTCTTTTTAGCTTCCATAATAATCCGCTGAAGCCAGAAATCCATACTATCCGCATCCATGAGATGCAAATCCGGAATTTTGTCGTCGTGTTTAGCTCTTGCTGACCTCCATTCGTTAGATACTCCAACTGACCACCTAGTATTTATATTTGTGTAAGCATTGGTTTGAGCAGAAACGAGTTTTTTTTTATTTCCTTCTCTGAAACTGGAGGAACGAAATGATCGTCATACTCGATCTTCGCTTTTTCCGACATGTGTTGATTGTCCGTATTCACCCGATGCTGCAGATTTTCCTCAAAACTAACATCCTGCAAAATGTCAAAAACAGTTTCAAAAGTATCTTGAGCTACGTAATTTTCATCAAAAGGAGTGACATCAACAGCACGACTATCTCCTGCTTGACAAAGTAAAACATCTTCCATGTACTCTTCTTCTAATTCGGCCGCTGCTTGGGACAAAACAATATCGTCCATATCTAAAATGTCCATGAGGTCAAATCCGTCTGCCATGGCTAATTCTAAATCGTTGGTGCGAAATAGCATCGTTAGGATCGTGCAGTTTTTTCCCGCCAGATCATTCTTTCAGAAGTTGTATTTCATTGGCCAGTGTTTAACTTTTGACACATGTCGTCGACCATTAATGTTACAATTCATATATAGCCACGCTTTACGCTACGCTTTTCGTGACTTAAAAAAGTTAATTCGTAACGGGCGTGCTATATATATAACTTATTTTGAGAAGCTGGATGAAAGTGTCTCATCCTTGTTCATAAAGGGAATAGGTTGTCAGTGGTTGACAAAATGTAGTAAATTAAGCCATTGATTATCTCCCTTGATAAGGATTTGTTATTTATTCACGCCATATATGTATAAACAGGAAATCTCTGTAGAACATAAAAATTGATTTATTCTAGATAACTTTTACAAATAACTACCATGTTTAAAAACAACAAAAATGACTTTAACGTGTAGTCTTAGCTAGATGATTGTTTTTATTAGTTGTTATTGATTTTGAACTAGCTGTCAGTAACTGCGAGTTCTCTCAGACCTATACTTAGTGTCTAAATTTTGTACGGATGTATATAAGTACCCTGCCACGTCCACTCTGTGTTTTTGTTAGATGTATTTCTATTTGTATATCCATCTAATGAGTTAAGCCTTTTTCAACTGATTTTTTTCTTATGTTGTACTGTTACACCACTGTCCCAGGTTAAGGAGAGGGTTGGCACCTTCAAACTAGTTTAACCCCACCACATTCTTTATGTGCCTGTCCCAAGTCAGGAGCCTGTAATTGGGTGGTTGTTGTTTGTTGCTCTTTATCATATTTGATTTTCGTTTATTTTTTTGTATAGTGTGTTCTTGTTTTGTGCTGTTGCACCACTGTCCTAGACTAGGGGGAGGGTTTGGCCCCATCTAACTAGTTTAATCCCGCCACATTCTGTATGTGCCTGTCCCAAGTCAGGAGCCTGTAATTCCGTAGTTGTCGTTTGTTGTTGTGTATCATATTTGTTTTTTTGTTTTTTTGTTTTTTTTATTATTTTGTACATAAATTAGGCCGTTAGTTTTCTCGTTTGAATTATTTTACATTTGTCATTTCTGGGCCTTTTATAGCTGACTTTGCGGTATGGGTTTTGCTCATTGTGGAAGGCCGTACGGTGACCTATAGTTGTTAATTTCTGTGTCATTTGGTCTCTTGTGGAGAGTTGTCTCATTGGCAATCATACCACATCTTCTTACTTTTATATTTAACAGAATATATTAGAAAAAAATTCAGGATAAGTTCAACCAATAGTACGTCAAATACAATGTATATTTTCAACAAAATTCATAGGATAAATGGACCATAATGTTTCTGAAAACTCCATTTTTAAATTATGATAAATTGTTAAAATAACGCCTTTACATGCTATGAAAAAGAAACAAAGTAATTGTGATTCAATAAATTAATACATATATAAGAAGCAAATAAAAATTGATATTCAAGGACAAGCTGGCTTTAATTAAAAAGAGCGATTTCAATACTTTTGTTTATTCGGACTGGACATATTGTCTTCGACCACAACATCAGCTTTATGAAAATTTTAAATTACATTAAAGATCATGTTCCATATGAAGTCAAATTAAGTTCACTAAACACCATCCTCCTCTTTTTTCTATTAAAAGAAAACATATTCAACATCGTCTTTTACATTCACATTCGTTGTTGGGCTGCTACTCTTGCAAATTCTGTAAAAGAATGATAATATAAATTGATCATGTGTCTGTCCCAATTTAGGATCTTCTCTAGCTTGTTATATTGTTATGTTTTGTTTGCTACGTGTTTTTTTTTGTTTTTTTTTTGTTGTTTTTTTTTGGGGGGGGGGGGGGGGGGGTAGGGGATTTACTTGCTTTTTACAATTCTTTCTTTTGGTGTTTTGTTTTACCATTTATGGATTTTTACATTGATTGCAGTTGTTTCAATCAATGTCAAATTCCATAAATGGTAAAAAATGAACACCAATATATTTTCAAGACATGCATTTATGAGCTTCAATGACGTATTGTGGAGATATTCTTGGGAATAGCTGCAGCACCGTAGCTAATATTTTTTGACAATTTGCGGACCATAGTCCGCAAATTATCAAAAAATATCATAAGGACCTATGAGCTACTGTTCGTAGCTAATTTGGGAATAGATAACGGTCCAGCTACAATAAGATAAACAATTGTTTCCAACAAGTACTTCACCGATACTTACACATACTTTCAAAGGAAACTTTAAATACCACAAAAGAAAGAAAGAAGATACCAAGGGGCATTTGAAAATCATAAGTTCAATAAAGTTAGTCTCATTGAGGTTTAAGCGTGACGCGGAATTGGCCGACTTTTTGTAAGCGTGACACGTGAAAGTCAAATTATTGTGCGTAAAAACGGATGATGGAAGGAACACGTGAAATTACAACCGTTATTATTTTACAATGATAAGCGGGATACGGCCATCTGACAAAACAATAACCGAGATCCGTGATCAGAACGTCCCCCCCCCCGCCCCCAAATGAGACCCCCAATAAAAACGGCCATACCATGACCAAAAATTAAAAAAAAGCGACGAAAGAACAAACAACAATAATAAACATAACATAGAAACTATAGACTGATTAACACGAACACACAAAAAAACTGGGGGTGAATTCTAGTGTATTCCGAAAGGTAGCACACAGAACCGGGAAGACTAGTTGTTGGGAAATTCCAAACAAAGCAGTTTTCTTACATGTATGTACTACAGGAATCCATATGGGAACCAAAAGTTAATAAACAAACAGTCACGCTAATACTGATATACATGTATCTGTAAAACTAAATAACGCTTACCAAACGAGATTATTTTTGTCCAACTATTAAAAGCAAATACTTAATGGATATTCAGCACTTAAACAATTTGAAATAAATTTGTTTGGAATTGTTAGGGTGGGGTGCCTCTGGAAAAAAGAAGCTAAGGGTAGTGATTTTGCCTTGCAACAGGCATGGCGAACCCTTCAAACAGCTGTTGCAAGAGGTTCTTGATGTTTAGGAAGCATGACACACCCTGTATATGTGACCTAGGATTAAACAGGATATCCAATAACGATCACAACATAGCAATTGTATTTATTCAACTAAACTGAATGCATCAGTTCAGAAATTTAACGTTATTTAGAACTCAAGTCTCCGTAAAGGATGGTTTGTCAAATGTAAAACTTCAACATGATTTAGCTCTAATGAATGAATCCTATATTTGAAAAGTTCATTGATCTATACACTCAGATGATACCGATATGCTTCCATAGCTACATTTATTTGTCAACAAATCAATAGATTCAATCAAAATTGAAAAAAAATATACACAATTAAAATGTACCATTTATCTTAAAACAAAAACCAGCTTGAAACAAGTGCAATTCACAGAATAGTCATGTGAACCTGGTTATAATGTAACACTCATTGTTGAAGGCCGTACGGTGACCTATAGTTGTTAATTGCTGTGTCATTTGGTCTCTTGTAAAGAGTTGTCTCATTGGCAATCATACCACATCTTCATTTTTATAAGTTACAACGAAAAAGAGAGGCGAAAGAATGGTGTTAATTAAAAGAGATATCCTAACTCATAAGTCGAAAACAAACTGACAATGGCATAGCAAAAAAACAAACGAAAACGACTAAAAGACAATTACTTAGTAACAATATACAACGCACAACATAGAAAACTAAAGACTGAGCAACACGAATCCCACCAAATACCTTGGGTGATCTCAGGTGAACGGAAATTAATCGTAAAGTTTTACTAAAACACACATCTTGGTATTTTAGCTAATTACCTTCAAAACTGATAACTCCATCTCCATTCAAATCTGCCTCTTTTAACATTTCCGATGCATCCATTTCTGCCGTTTCTGTACCAAGTGATTGTAGCACCATTATCAACTCTTCTATTGTAATTTCTCCATTTTTATCTACATCAAAGCTGTCAAAAGCTTGTCGTAAGACTTCATCTTCATAGTCTATTAAACATATCTGAAAGACAATAATAGTTCGTGCTTCGTTACTAAAATGATTTATAATAACTATTCGTGTCGATGAATTAGAAACTTATATAGAAACTAAATGAACGGTCCAACTCCCACAGACAAAGTTAACCTTTGTTAGCTACACATATAAAAATAAGAAGATATGGTATGATTGCCGTGTTTTCTATTGTCCTTCCTTTTTGTCGTATAGCTCAAAATGTTTCTACGTATTTAGGCCACACTTAAAAATATTTTGGTTTGTCCAAACGCTACCTAAAGGTAGAGACAATCGGTAGGTAGGTAGTCGTTTTCTTTTGATTTCGGAAAGGAGAAATTGAAGTATTCGATATTGTTTAAGTCTTCCTGCCTATCAGATAAAAAAAAATCAAATCAGGACAATAAAAAATTTTGAGTAGGCAGCTATTTTCTGGGTATAGGTAGGGTTAGGGCAAACAAACATATTCTTTTTTATGGCCTTATACAATCCTGCCTTTCAAATTTAAGGTTCGATTGTTTCAAGTATCACCACGTAACTATGCTATTGTAAAAATGTCATTTGCGTAATGACAAAGGAACTATGCTTAATATATCTACTTTATTTGAACTTTGGCGGATAGTTGTCATATTGGCAATCATACCACATCTCCTTTTTTATACTTTTTATATGCTTTTATCATTGCTCTTCAACTCCAAGTAACTGTGATGCTTTCAACAAGGCTATCTGATAATCACCGGTGTAAGCGAGCAGAATTATTTCCTTGATGTTGATTACTTCATATGTCAACAAATTACAGACCAATGCGTTCATTTACATTTACACATGAACACAACTATCATGCACGAGGAGTGTCTAGATCGTTTTTTATTTGTTTGTTTGTAAATATTTTAAAAGGTTTTCTTCGTTAGACTTACAGGTTTGCTGTTTTTACTCATTATTGTCTCAAATTCTTTGTAATCTATAAATCCATCACCTAGAAAATAAACAAGTAATACGCTATCAGTAAATCGATTATTTTGATTAAAGGATCTGATTTATAAAAAAATCGACTCAAATCAGGCCGTTAGTTTTCACTTTTGAATTGTTTTACATTTTGTCATGTGGAGCCTTTTTTATCAGACTATACGGTATAGGTTTTATCAGACTATACGGTAAAGGTTTTATCAGACTATACGGTAAAGGTTTTATCAGACTATACGGTATAGGTTTTATCTGACTATACGGTATAGGTTTTATCAGACTATACGGTATAGGTTTTATCAGACTATACGGTATAGGTTTTATTTGACTATACGGTATAGGTTTTATCAGACTATACGGTATAGGTTTTATCAGACTTTACGGTATAGGTTTTATCTGACTATACGGTATAGGTTTTATCAGACTATACGGTAAAGGTTTTATCAGACTATACGGTAAAGGTTTTATCAGACTATACGGTATAGGTTTTATCTGACTCAACGGTATACGTTTTATCTGACTATACTAAACGGTATAGGTTTTATCTGACTATACTGAACGGTATAGGTTTTATCTAACTATACGGTATATGTTTTATCTGACTATACGGTATAGGTTTTATCTGACTATACTGAACGGTATAGGTTTTATCTAACTATACGGTATAGGTTTTATCTGACTATACGGTATAGGTTTTATCTGATTAAACGGTATAGGTTTTATCTGAATATACGGTATATGTTTTATCTGACTATACGGTATAGGTTTTATCTGACTCAACGGGATAGGTTTTATCTGACTCTACGGTATAGGTTTTATCTGACCATACGGTATAGGTTTTATCTGACTATACGGTATACGTTTTATCTGACTATACGGTATAGGTTTTATCTGACTATACGGTATAGGTTTTATCTGACTATACGGTATAGGTTTTACTTATTGTTGAAGGTCGTACAATGATCTATTATTGCTACGTCCTTTGGTCTCTGGTGGATATTGTCTCATTATGTAAGCAATTTATTTTAAAACACATCATATCAAACTAATCAATCAATATATCTAATTTCTATCTTTATTGGTGTTAAGAATTAACTTTAAGGATGTTCGCTACTCTGTTTCAAAATAATATGCTTTTTAAAAGACTGTTATAAATTGATAGTAACTATATAAATAAAGGAACTAAAAAAGCAGATAAAAACGAAGGGTCCGTATGCTTGTTTTCGAGATATAAGCTATTGAAAATTTGGCGGGAAATGATTCTCTCTAGATTTTTCATACATTTAACATTGGCACCTTTTTTCTGTCTAAACAAGGATTTAATAAGATTTTCAAAGATGGAATTTCTTAACTATATTTAATCAAATCATGAAAAGAAAAGTATGGGTAAGTGGGCAAAATTTTGTTTAATGGCACTACATGGATAAACCAGAGGACTCTGAATATCTGGCAAAAATTCAAAAACAAGAGGAGCGAACATCCTTATTCGAATCTTACGAGTACAAAACATCGTGATACATGTTTACTGTGAATAACAATGATTTTTTTTGTGAAAAGGGTCGCTGTTTGACCTAAAAAAAACATCCCGGTATCGAGGTGTGCATCCAAAGAACATAAATATTATGTATAGATATCGCAGTATCGATGTGTGTATCCCATGAACATATGCAGATATCACAGTATCGATGTGTGTACAAATGTATCCCTAGGGTTTACATATGTAGATACACATGTATCACTTTTTCGAGGTGTACATCCCATGAATATATGAAGATATCCCATTTCGAATGTTTTTCCCCATGTACACATGTAGATATCGCAGTATCGAGGTATACATCCCATGAACATCTGTAGATATCGCATTAAGAATGTTTTTTTTTCCTTGTACATACAATATCAAAGTATTGAAGTTTGCATCCGTGTCGTACACATGTTGATACAACAGTATCAATGTGTCTATCCCGTATACATATAACTATGTAAATTCTTACCATTTCTGTCTACTTCTCGGATCATCTTTTTGGCTTGTTTTTCGTTAAGGGTCATACCCAATAAATCTGAGGCATGCCTTAGTTCCGTCCAAGACAGTCTATTATCCTTGTTTATATCGATCTGTTTAAATGCTTTTCGACATTCTATAACGATAAAAAATGAGTTCACAATGTAATTGAGAATGAAAACGAGAAATGTGTCAAAGAGACAAAAACCCGACCAAAGAGCAGAAAACAGCCCAAGGGCCACAAATGGGTCTTCAACACAGCGAGGAAATCCCGCACTCTTAGGCGGGATTCAACTGGCTCCTAAATAAAAACGGACGTCACACTAAACTCCAAAACATATAAATGAACCAAAATAAAAAAAAACATACAAGACTAACAAAGGTCAGAGGCTCCAGACTTTAGACAGGCGCATAAGTGCAGCGGGGTTAGACATGTTTTGTGAGATCTCAACCCTCCCCCTATACCTCTAGCCAATATAGAATAAACAAATACACAGCAATACGCACAGTAAAAATAGCTATATATTTAACACAATAGTTTTGTTATTGGTAATGTTTAAAGTCTCACATCGTGTTGTTGTTATATTCTTTATACTTGTTAAGGGCCTTCTTCAGAAACAAATAGCATAACCTCTTCCAAACATGCGAGTACTCTCAGATCTGTACTTATTGTCTTTTTGTTGTTGGGATGTATAAGTACCCGTCCACGTCCACTCTGTGTTTTTGTTAGACGTATTTCTATTTATACCCATCTGATGAGTTAAGCCTTTTTCAACTGATTTTTATAGTTTGTTCTTATTTCGTACTGTTGCACCACTGTCCAAGGCTTTTTTTTTTTTGGGGGGGGGGGGGTTAAGCGCTCACAAACATGTTTAACCGCCACATTCTTTATGTGCCTGTCCCAGTCAGGAGACTGTAGTTTAGTGGTTGTCGTTGGTTCATGTCCGTCATATTTGTTTTTCGTAAATTGTTTTGTTATAAATTAGGCCGTTAGTTTTCTCGATTGAATTTTTTCATATTTTTCATGTCGGGGCCTTTTATAGCTGACTATACGGTATGGGTTTTTCTCATTGTTCAAGGCCGTACTGTTGCCTATAATTTCTTACATCCACTCCATTTGAACTTTTGTGGATAGTTGTCTCATTGGCAAACATACCACATCTCCTTATTTTTATTAAAACAAGAAAGATCATAAAATTGTCATAGGGAACATGTGTACTAAGTTTCAAGTTGATTGGACTTCAACTTCAGCAAAAACTATCTTGACCAAAAACTTTAACCTGAAGCGGGACAGACGGACGGGCGGACGAACGAACGGACGCACAGACCGAAAAACATAATGCCCCTATGTGGGGCATAAAAATACTGATTACATTATATTCCTGCATGACTAAGTTAAACCATGATAGTTGGGTTTTATTTCAAAATGGTTCAAAAAAAGTTTTAATTTATTTTACCGAATTGTACTATTTATAACGTCAAGCTAACTTGCGCACCTTATTGCGTACTTTATGTAATTCAACCTTCTCAAATTTAAACTGATATCAGTCCCTTTATTTTGAACAAAAAATGTTTTTGTTATTTGACAGATGTGCACATGAATATCAGTGAACAATCTGCTGTTTGATTTATACAGGTGACTGGTCCTGAATGGCGATAAAAGATTAAAGGTTTAGATGTTTATCAATAGACTTAAATAGGTTGATAAGAAGCTATCCTGTACTGTCATGTAGCTTTGTGTATTATTTCAATTTATAGATAGGAGTAAAAAACCCTCGTATCATCAGTATATGGAATACATATGTATTGATATTATCATTCACCAATAAAAAAATGATATTGTTTTCTTTCTCAAAACACATGTTTCTGGACTTATCTTCATTAAGTAAGGTCGAGATTCGAGAGTTCAGAAAGCCAAAAGTACAAAATACTTGAAAGCATAAAACTAAAAGGGCTTACAATTGTCTGTACAACTGTACCCGAAGGAATTACGACTCTTACTATCAATACTTATGTATTCCAGCTAGCATCAATAAATATATAACAAAAAGACATCGGCATTTAAAAAAAAAATACTACTCACACTTCATTCTATGCACTCAAACCCCATCCCAGAAATATTCGGAATCAATGTGAAAAATGTGTAGCCTAGCGTTCCGAAGGTTGTTTTTTATTATCTGTCGACACAATTTTTAGGGTTTAAACGGACGTGTCATTAAATGTTTGATTGCAATGGTAACATTGAATATAGATAACTTTTAGCATATATTTTGCTTCCAACATGGTACGGCGCAGCATTTTGATGCAGTTTCTATTTTTTTTTCTAAGCTCTCAACGTTTTCCCCGCCCCGAAAATGGGATTAATTGATTGATTGTTGTTTGCTTAACGTTCAGTGGCAAATATTCCAGGCATGTTTAGGGCGAGAACAGTCCAGTTTAGCAATGCATTCAATAGAAATATGTCATTTGGGCTATGACTGGGATTTAGACTAACACCGGAAATATGAAACTACATGGATAGGAACAGGAATTTAGCTATGCAGTAAGTCATATACGGACCCCTAAAAAACTCACAAGGGTTCTTAACGTGCACAGAACGTGACACTCTTTCTTTATTAGACTTAAGAAATAATTCATGGGGTTGCATTTATTGTGATTTTACCAGGGATTGGCCCTTTATGCTAAATATTTTACCACGAGCGTCAGCGAGGGGTAAAATATCAGCATAAAGGGCCAACCTGTGGTAAAATCAATATAAATTCAAGCCCCATGAATTTTTCTATTCTAATAGGACAAAGATGGCATTCTTTGGGATCGAAGCGCTCTATGTGAAGGGAAATGTTTGCTGCTCCCGTAATTGAACACACTATTATGGTCAGATCATATGTTTTCGTACGTCATATGAATTCGTACTATGCATACTTTTTCAATCGGAAATTGTGACGTCACAATGCATTCTTAATAGCACGAAAACCCATGAGACGAGGATAATACTGACGTAAACGACGAAGAAAATTAATAAGTGACAGTATTTAACGATATACAATAACATATTGAGACAGATTTGGATGAATTTAATTGACTTTCTTACTTTCATTTATGAAGATATGGACATTATACAAATTCTTACCATCGTTTCTTTATGTTTTCATGTTTTGAAGACTTTCAGTTTCCCATTCGTACATTTTCCCGTAAAATCTTTACATTCTTACGTCATCGTTTAATGACGCCATTTTAATACACCATCTGACGTGAGGTAAATCATTCACAAAAAGCATACGACATAAGAGTAGGATTGGAACAGCCCAAACAAATCATGACGTTGCCTATAAGCTGACATATGAATATATTCGAATTTTATCACGGGTGTGTACTCAAAGCGTTTGAAGAACGTCATATTAGAAATCGGATTAAACGTCCCCATTCCAACCGGACGGGGCTGTGTATTTATAAATCTCGCACAACTCAACGGACGTCCCATTTTGGAAAGGTTTTTACTGCATGATGGAAGAAAGTGACCATATTTTAAGTCATCCTCGCGGTCCGAAAATTTGAAAAGTAGTTTTCAGAAAGTTAAAGAAACAGAAAGTCGAGACGCCGAAAATATTCACTCAAGTATGAGTTTTTAAACCTTGGTGTTATGTAATGGTAAATTGGGAATGGTATCATGGGAGGTAGCCATTTTGTGTCAGTATCTGTATAAGGAATGTCCTTCTCCAAAGGAGCACTCCTTTTACAGAAGTGGTTAAAAGTTCGTTTAAAATTATATTAACATTTAGCTAGGTGTATACAGTGTTTCTATATGGTTACACTACTGGTAATTAATTGTGTAAAAAAAGGGGGGGGGGTAGTACAGTCATTAAGCCCTACAGGCAGTAGCTTTGTTTTCAGTATAAAAATCGAATATTTTCTAAACAAAAATAACAAAGTTTAACTTAGCAGAACAGAAACAAAGTCCTGATTTCAAAATGGTAAATAAAGTCCTTGCAAATACAAATTTTAAATGTAGCAGTTTATTCTATATCCCATATGTTTGTCAATGTATACAAAAATCGACAACTCTTGTCTCATTTATTTTCAATTTTAAAAAGTTATCTATAAGGTTTCTAGTTAATATCATTTTTTTAATCCAACCTTTTAAGAGGGGATATATAAAATCAATGTATGTTACGATTACGGGCAACTTTGGTGCTTAAAACTGTTAGTAAAACATGCTGCATATCAATGTCAGATCATCAAATCAAAGTTTTACCTGTTAATTGCCATGCTAATATATAAGGTTAGACCCGCAGAACAACTTTATAATTACTTCGACAAAAAAAATAGAGATATATATTGAAATAGTTTGTATTCTATTGAGATTAATACACTGCGAAACAAGCAACTTAATATAAATTTTATTTGTTTTGTTTGGTTTTTTTTTCAAAAAACAAACAAACTATGTTGTAATCGGTAAACTTCTTTAACAAAAAAACATACAGATAAAATAAAAAAAAAATAAATAATATATTTGAATTGTTACGGACAACTTTGGTGAAAAGGTGAATATAGTCGGTAATCTGTAAATGTTGCTACGCCATTTTGGGTTCGTTTCCTTACCATCAAAATAAAGAAAATTACAAAATCGAAAGAAAACTATTTAAATGGAATGAGATGTTTCTGCAGTTAAACGTATTAATTCGTGTTTTCAACATTAACAAATAAAATAAACGTCATTATTTTTTATTTAATAATCAAAATGTTTAAATGTTTAAATTTTCGAGTTATCTTGTTATATACGTACTATTTTCTTTTTTTAAATGATTAAGGGCAATAATTACCTTCTTTTTCTTTCTGTGTTAGTTCCCGGAAATATTTCATATGCACACCTATATCCATCCTGATAGATTTGTGTCGTATTCAAACAAAATTGAAAATATTTATACTCTTCAAAATCACAATAATAAATAATTATTTCTTTGTGATGATATCTTAAACTTATATATTTACAATTAAACCTGTGTAAACAAATCATATAATTAACCATATAAAATTTCAAATGACGCCAGTTAACATTAATGTGTTTTAAAATTAGTGTACCTATTCATAATAGGTGTTGATGCGAACTTTAATTAGGAATTTAATGTCGAAGTCTTATTGATTAAATAATTATACAAAAATAGAGCTGAATATATCCGTGAATTTTAATGCCTGTTGAAGACCAGTCGACTCCATCTTTTGTGTAATTACTTACGAAAAACTATATGTCTAAAATATCTGTCTCCTTTGCATTCAGTTCAAACCTACAGAACATTCAACTTTTTATAAATTGCTTAATTGTTTTTGTCCTGAAGTTACATAGAATATTTGCCAATGCACGTTAATTTGACAAGCAATAGTTATGGATCGACCTTAATCTAAAAACCAATTCATTTGTAAGTAATAAAAATGAATGTCGTTATCAGACACATTTTATAACTTCAGGTTAATTATTGATTAGCAACTTAAATGCAATGTCCAAAATGTAATTTATTCTGGGTATATATTAAGTACTGTGTGTTTGTTTATTCTACATTGGCTAGAGGTATAGGGAGGGTTGAGATCTCACAATACATGTATAACCCCGACGCATTTTTGCGCCTGTCCCAAGTCAGGAGCCTCTGGTCTTTGTTAGTCCTGTATGTCTTTTTCTAATTTTACTCATTTATATGTTTCGGAGCTTAGTTTGACGTCTATTTTCACTGAACTAGTACACATTTTTGTTTAAGGGCTAGCTGAAGCCCGCCTTCGGATGCGGTATTTTCTCGCTGTGTTGAGACCAATTGGTGGCCTTGGGCTGTTATCTGCTCTTTGGTCGGGTTGTTGTCTTTCTGACACATTCCCCATTTCCATTCTCAATTTCAATGTTTTCAAAAGCGTGCACCAAAGCGTCATTGGTGGTAAATAGCGTCCTAATCCAGGGCATACATAATGTTATATGTTTTTTATTCATTTTGATATACGAACAATAAATTCAGACAAGCTTCTTTTGATTCTGTAGCCGACAATTTCGGACAGAAAATTCATGTTCAGAAAGGTTATTTTCCAAACATATCAGCCGAGAGAAGTAAAATTTCCTGAGCCGCTATAGGCATTAGATAAAAAGTCTACGCGAAAAATGTGGTTGATTTATTAGGAAATGACTGGAGCGGGCCTCAGTGTCCCCACCTCCTTGTGATAATTTATGGAATTGCCACTGAGTTCTGTTCAATTTTGTAAAAATAACCAAAAATAGTTCGCTGGTATATCATTGTCGTGCAAGACGTCGTTAATTCGACCTTTTTTTTTAAAAACTCGTATGCACGAGACCTATCTTGCGACCAAAGATGGAGATCGATTGCAAGTTTTGCTCAAAATATTCAGCATTTGTGAAGAACGACCACTGCAAACTTAAGGTGAATGAATGTATGTACAACCAGAGACGTATAATACAGCGATTCGCAACTCGGCAAACTAACGTATATTCTTTCGGCCTCTTGGAAATCCTCGCGAGATATTATAATGTATTTTATGTCTCTGGTACAACTATGGTTGACGTAATATTATGTTATCCTTTTTTTTACTCCATATTCACGATAAGAAATGAAAAAATCTATGAAATTAAAATCATCATTTATACAAGAGCACGTTTTGACCACCAAGTCAGCTGAAATTCTTCATATACATAATCGACCGTGCGGATGGTTAACATGATGGCGTCCAGTCTCAAAAGATGTAGGAAATGTTGAAACTTTTATTATGACTTCATGCTTTAGTTTATGCTTCCAACATAAACTTAACAATTATGATATGTATATGGTATAGAGTTTGATATATCATATTTTAGAGTTTGAAGTAAGATTCCAACATCTTAGGGCAACGTTGACCTACGATTGATTTGCTTATGCTTTTAATGTCCCTTTTGGTCATAAGGTTTCCCGCGTATTCAAATACTAATATACATCCTTCACTTTAGCATCTATTATGAAAGTAAATCCATAAAAGCGCTTCGGACGCACGAACGTCATAAGTGCTATTTCTATTAACCTTAACGGGTTGAAAAAAGGGGGATATACTGCTACCGGTTGAATATTAGTCTATGTTGATCAGTTTAGAAATTATTAGGAAACTAAATTTCGAACTCCCTTCGGAAAAGTTTACGATAGATCACAGATGAATTTTAGGTCATATAGTTTCTCTAGTGTTCAAGTATTCATACATCATTTACATTCTTGAGTTTGAGAGTTCATGAACAGGGGCGAATCCATTTTTAAAAAGGGAGTTCCAACCCACATTAAAAGGGGGGCTCCAACTATATGTCCCCATTCAAAAGCATTGATCGTAAAAAAAACCAGACGCCCCAAACACACACACACACACTCTCTGGATCCGCCACTGACGAAGTTTAACGTTTCGGATAGACGGAATTACCAACCTGCGTGACGAAAAACAAAAAAGTAACACGTCTGTCGCGTTCTCTCCGTAATAGCTGTGCATTTTGAATAAAATGTGACGGTTGGAAGCAGAGAATGATTGCAATGTGCAAACTGTTAATAATTTATTGCTAAAATATTGATTAACTTTAACTTATTTTCATTTGGGAAAAGGCTAATCAATTTTGTGAGGAAAAATATATTAGAATTTAATTATAGATATTTAATTAACTAATTCAAAACATTCTTTCAAAACATTGAACTAGAATATTGAATATTATACAAACCGAACTTTATTATTTCATACCTAGTAACAAAACACTACATAAACACATTTCGTCGTGCATTACCATTTTATCAACGAGTATCTGGCAGTAAAGACAGAAAAAAGGAATATGCATCCACATTTTTTTGGAATGTTCCTTCTTTTTTATTTGGTACAATTTGCTACGAGTCAGTGCTCCAATGGACAATTTTCATGTATAGTTAATCCAACAGAGCCCGGTAGACGTTTTCCGGACACTGTATTCATGACGTTTGAAAAGTTCGGTCCAAACCAGTGCTTCGACGAATGTATACGTCGAGCGAGGTGCGAGTCGTTCAATTACAAAGCGACTGAGTTCTACTGTGAACTCAATACTGGATATGGTGAAGAAAGTAACACGAATAACGACTTCATCAACGATGCGAAGTACGAATACACTTCAATGAATGGATTGAGAAAGGTAAACAATGAATTTTATTCCATATTTTGCATTACATTAGTATGTTTTTCCATATGAATTGAATTTTGATTAACACAGATCATTCCTTATTGGTATTATTTCAGTAGGTTTCTCTATATGAATTGGATTTGGAAAAAAAGAGCATATTCACCTCGAGAAAAGTGCTATTCACGCGCTTTTACGTGTAACGTTATGGTAAAATGTTTAAAGTACATGTGTTTGGTGAATATTTGTAATTAAATGCATTGTTTTCTTTCGGAATATAGAATAACACAATATCTGTCTTTTGTTTCTGTAAATATGTGGATTAATTGACTTTTGAAAAAACTATAATTTGCTCCGGCCGTCGGCCTCAGTTAATATCAGTTTTTTTTTCAAAATTCAATAAAACTTCATATTTACCTCAGCAAAAGACAGTAATTGTATAATATTTACCGCGCTAAACGTCACGTGCTTTTACATGCATGTTTAATTATAGTAAAATGTTTGATGTACAATTTGATTTAGTAAATAATTGTTATCAAATAAACTGGTTTCTCTCGGAATATAGAATTAAACAATTACTGTCCTCTGTTTCGGCCTCGGTGAATACTATTTTTTTTTTCAAAAGTCAATAAACAATATATTTACCTCATCAACATACAATTACTGTATATTTTAGAAACATTCTTTACATGTATGAAGTTTTTCAGCAAGTCTGATTTCGCAAACTTACATTTACATTTAATAAGACCTCTCCCCCTATTTCTGGAAAGTCTTTAAGGCTTTTACTTTCAATCAGACACGACAGAGAAGCTGAACGAACTATTTTTCTTTAATAATGAATATAACCGTTGTGTATTTGTGTTTTTAGTCTAAATACAAACTTTAAAAACAAACTTTAAGACAGGATATGATAGCGAACATAGAAAACAAGTCACGTGATGTAATTGTTTTACTCATTATCTCAGGAACGATTCAGATGAGTTATATATAACGAAAATTGCTTCATTTTATATGTTTCCTTTAGACATATAAGGTGTAAGTATTTTTTTTAACAATTTAGTATCTGCATCGAACTGCGTTAACTGATTCAGAACGAAATTTATCATGAATCCACATATTTGTGTGGAAAGATTTTTTTCGTGTATAAATTTTGGGCTTAAAGACTGCTTTCTGAAATAAGTATTTTTTTCTTCGACTAACATAATACTAGAATATTAAAATCATGATCTTAAAATACTCAATAAATTGTTTTGGTGCACTTATTCTGTTTTTGGAGTGATACTTATTGGACTTTGCAATTATACATCTATTACTTTTGTTTCATACAAATAAGAAGTGGTATGTTTGTCAATGAGACAACTCTCTGCCAAAGACTATATTACGTAAAAGGTTTGCCAATTTATGTCAACTTGCGGTCTTCAACAATGAGCAAAACCCATATCGCATAACAAGCTATAAAATGCATCAAAATGACAAATTCAAAACAAATAAAACAAGAAAACTAAAGATCTTTTTGAACAATAAACATGTATATATTACTACTTAATTGATACATGTATCTCTTTTTGAAAGCGTTTCCTATTTATAAGCTGCCTTCAGCTGGATAAACGAGTGACAATGATGACCACTAGGGAACCTATTGTTGTTTGTCTGTTTGTCTTTAATCAATTGAGCTGTTTGTCTTTATTCGAATTGCGTTTTAGGAAGACCCTTGGTATCTTTAAAAAAAACTTAATCCGAATTATTCAGTCGTTTTTTTCCCGCTGATCTGCACAAGATCTACGATGGCTGCATTAATGTGTGGGAGAAAATCGGACACGGAGAGGGATATAATTATTCGAGTTATAGTAAACTAAACATTTTATCAAATGTTCCAGTAAGGATCGTTGCTAATAAACATCAGCATATTTTACGGTGGTTTAACGACCAATAATAACTTTCAAAACTACATATGGAGCAATATACATACTCATCTATTGTTAGCAACGAGTGACAATAAGGGTTCCATTTTTATCTAGTTTTGGAAATAAAGAAACCCAGTTGAAATTAGACAAAAGAAATGGATCTCTTTGTTAGAGAAGGTAAAAAAGGCGAAGTTGTTGGTCAATTTGAATTATTTACATCTGGTCCAAGGACACAGTTATCGTCCTTTGGTTTTCGTTGTCTACGAATATAGTCCCTAGTGTGAACAGTGTATAACTTGCATTTTTTTTTGATACACTTTCCCAATTTATTTCTTGATATTTTATGCATGAAATATTAAGTAAGGGGATGAAATTACATGTTAAAAAAATTTGGGTGCTGAATCTTTATGTTAAGTAGTGATTTGGTCCAGTTAAAAAAGGTCAAAAATTAGAATGTCGGAAGCTGTCAAACTGAATTTTAGCCCCCCCTTAACACAGAATTGTCAATATTTTGAGTTAGAGCTGGTAGAAGTTTCTATAATTTTGATATTATTTGTATCAATAGTAGTACACTACACTGTAAAAATCTTTTTTGAGATAGAGCAGGTGCGATTTTTTTAATTTGAATTTATTGTCTAAAAGAAATGCACTACAAAATAACTGTGTTCTCGGGCCATCTGTTTCTATGGGCTTTAAAAGTTTAATGAATGTGCCTAATTTAGGATTTTATGCATCTTATGTATGTGTTTTTACTTAGATTATTGAATTGAGCTTCGAGATATTTGTACACTTTTAAATTATAGACACATTTTCACAAAACAGTTGATTGTATTATGTGCAAATTCACGTGGATATTATTGCATATGCATAAATTCCGCCGAAAAAAATTCTAAAGAACGATTATAGATTTATCATTTTAAAGTATCAATTTGCATCTCTGCCGCCGGTGTCGTTTTTTGTTGTTGAAAAAAATCTCCCAAATAGGCCATAATCTCATCGAAAAGAGAAAGTCGAGTACACCTTTTTAGGTTCAGGTGTGTTTTAGTTGACTCTTCTGTCTTGAAAACGTATAAAGCAAAAATATTTGATACATCATCTCGCTTCAGATTCTATTAATTTTATATATTTAGGCTATAGGTTGATACAATAACTATAAAAAAAATTACAGAACTAAAAGATGAAATATACGGGTCAAGTAAAATACCTTTCTAATGAGTAATAAAAACAGGATAGGTGTGTTCGAATAACAAATTTTTACTTAAAGTACTTGACGACAAAATTTTCTGCTGGATCTTAAAAATGCATATATAATTTCAAAAAAACTTCAAGTTTTGAGTGTTATCTAGGGTACTTAGTCGTTAACCTCTGATTTTTTTTAGTCTGGTAATAAGTTAAGTTAAGAGTTCCGGCCGTTTTCGACAATTGTTGGTAATTAGTCAACCCAGACGTTCTGTTTTTTTACTATTGATTGTGGTAAGTAAAACCAAGGGCGTGTTTTTTTGTTCTTCGGTAGTGAGCCAGAAGAGGTCCATTTCTATTTTTTTGAATTAGGAAGATCTTCTGGCTCTCTTCCATCTCTTCTTTTTAAATAGGTGGTTTAGACGTCAGAGGCACAAAACAAACATGGCGTCATTTAGTCTAAATGACATAAATAAATTCATGAATGAAGATATATTAGAATGTGAGCTGTGTTATAAACGTTTTTATGGTATGACAGCCTTAGTAGGACATCTCTGTAGGACGATAAGCTGGATGAATATAAGAACTACACGGACAATAACAGTTAAGGGACAACTATTTGAAATTCTAGGGAAGGGATTTTGATTCATTGGAGTTTTACGCTACTTTCAACACTCATGATCGGGCTCAGTAGTAGTCAGTTTAAATCAATAGATGAGGAATTAATGAAGAAGGAAAGAGTGTCAACGTATATTTGTTCCGCCTAACAGAAGTTTCACTGGAAACTTTGTTATAAACAATGTCATAATATCTGTTCCTGTTGGAACAAATATTCTATACCATTTATTCCGTTAGGAACATTTACCGTCATATTTATTCCAGTGGAAATAATATTCCAGAATATTGTTTCCATTTGGAACTTATATTATGAAGGAACTTCTATTCCGTGACAGGAGGGCATTATTATTCATTTTGATTCGCTAATCATGCCTATTTTTTAGCTCTTACCAGGCAACCATATCAGTCATATACGAAATCCTCCTGTCCCCCATCCCAACAAATAAATAAATAGCAGATGGTTTTCTCTTATTAAACACAAGTTTAAATTGATCATGCTAATTTTTAACGCCCAGTGACAAATATTTCATGCATGTTCAGGAAAACACGAGATAAAAAGTCGGGTAAATTATATAAAAACGAAAAGATGTGATATGATTGCTAATGAGGCAACTATCCTAATATGAAGTGGATGTAAGCAATTATAGGCAACCTTAAGGCCTTCAACAATGAAAAAACCCGATACTGTAAAGCCGTTTATAAAAGGCCATTAAAAGTGTGAAACAATTCAAACGATAAAACTAACGGCCTAATTATACAAAACAAAACAATTTACAAAATATCAAATGTGGGTTGAGACATGAACCAACGACAACCACTAAACTACAGGCCCCTGACTTGGGACAGGTTCATAAAGAATATGGCAGGGGTTTATATAAAAACGAAGATGTAGTATGATTGCCAATGAGACAACTCTTCACAAGAGACCAAATGATACAGAAATTAACAGCCATATGTCACAATACGGCTTTCAACAATAAGTAAAGCCCATACCACATTAGTGAGCTATAAAAAGCCCCGAAATCACAAATGTAAAACAATTCAATTGTAAAAACTAACGGCCTAACTAATATACAAAATAAAGTGAACGAAAAACAAATAAGTAACACAGCAACAAACGACAACCACTGACTTACAGGCTCCTGACTTGGGACAGGCACATACATACAGAATGTGGCGGGGTTAAACATGTTAGCGGGATCCCAACCATCCCCTACCCGTGACAGTGATGTAACAGTACAACAACTTGTTTGTGAGCTGAAACAGTAGTGTAGCAGTACAATATAAGAACAACCTGCGCAAATCAGTTGCAATTAGATTAACTCAAAAGATCGGTACGAGACACACAAAAGAAACCGGCCAACTAACATTAAGACAATAGACTCAAAGCATCGAACTAAGAGTATTTGCAATTACTAGAAGTTTGTTTAAAGCTAGTTACAACTAGTACTGAAATAAATCTTGTTCTCCCATACTTAAGTATCAATCAGTACACAACCAACTGATTTACTAGTATTAAATAAAAGTCTAAGAAACGTCTGGTATACGTTGTAGACCCATTGGTGGCCTTCGGCTTTTGTCTGCTCTTTGGTCGGGTTGTTGTCTCTTTGAAACATTCCCATTTCCATTCTCAATTTTATTACATATAGATCCATATACAATAAAAAAAAATTGAAAAGTGGTAGTCCGAAGGTTTTGACCATCGAAATTTTGCATTAATAAGGGTCTCACTAATTAGCGACAAGAAGCGTCAAGAAGCGACAAGAAGCGTCAAGAAGCGTCAAGAAGCGACAAGAAGCGACAAGAAGAATAAATTTGGCGACAAGAAGACTATTTAGCGACAAGAAAACTTAAAAAAATATTATTAGAATAAATATATTTAAAGAAATATGCATTGACAGCAATAAAGAGATTTTCATTTTTTTTTATTATATTGATAGATGAAGAAATTAATGAGTCAAGATTACATTTGGAGGTTTGCCTGTGATCTGAACAATTTCTTTCAAAGAATTAATATTGATGACAGCTTGCATATATCATCAGCAATATTTTGTTTGTTTAATAGGATAGGTACCTATGTATTCTGCTATTGCTTTATTCATGGTTTCAAGAGAATGGCCAGGCATTTTTTCGAACCAGCTGATTATTTTCTTGTAAGAATTACTTCTTTTCATAGAAGCATAATGACGCTTAAGGATGAACAAACTAGAATCATGGTTGGAGTAAAGGACGTGTGTCCCTTATTGTATTGCTACAATAACATTCAATTAACACCTATAACTTTGTACACGCGTCAGACTATTCAACTACACGCGCCAGAATATACAATAATTGAAAATGGTGAGCAACTGTTGAACACTCAACATTGTCTTTAATTACCTTTAATCTTCAATCAATTTTAAACTATGCATAAACATCATACATATCGTTTGATAAGTCATAATACCCAAATAAAATATTCACGTTTTAGTAACATTATCTTTTCTGGACACTGATTCACGTATTATAATGCATTTTGCATGCAGTCAGTTTATTATATTTTAGACAAAGAGAGTGTTAAAAAATTTATAAAATAAATATATTATTGTTCTAAAACACAAGAACATGTAAAAATTGATATCATACTATGACAGTGAAAATTTCTATATTTTTTCAATATCTATCAATATATTTAAAAAAAAATGAAAATCACTTTAATTTCCGTATATTAAAATAAAAATGTCAATGCATATTTTTTTAATATATTTATTTTAATAATATTTTTATTAAGTTTTCTTGTCGCTAAATAGTCTTCTTGTCGCTAAATTTATTCTTCTTGTCGCTAAATTTATTCTTCTTGTCGCTTCTTGTCGCTAAAATTCTTCTTGTCGCTAATTAGTGAGACCGATTAGAAATAATAGTTAGGACCAGAAGATTTTCGTCAAGGACCGCCAGAGAAAAATGATTTTTTCGAACTTTCTGATATCTTGTTAATCCAGTTCGGTTACTTTAAAAAAAAAATGGAAAGACTAAGATTTCCTTTTTCATCAGTGACCCCATCAGTCATATTCCAGACAAACATTGAAGAATTCTTGTGCAATTTAAGATTATTCTTAAAAATCAAATAGTGGGGGTCAAGCCTGATTTGTTTAGCAAAATTGAGTTAAAGGAAAGAATACAGAAAATTGTAACGAACAGAGAATACTTTTACAGTCATGTCTACTGCATGGATCGACGTATCTTAATTTTCTAAAAAAATCGTAAACTTAATTTATGTCATCCAACATAACAAAAACCTGCTATATTCGGCGGCAAATTGCATTTTTATTTTATTGATCTTCCATAGAATATCTCCAGAAGAGGTCAAGATTCATTTTTTTGGACTCTTCACCAGAAGACATTCTGGAGATGTACCGAAGAGATCAATAAAACACGCCCCAAGCGTTCAATTTATCTCCGTCATTAAAAACAAATTCCTTAAAATATCATACAACTGTTAACGGATTACGGTTAAAGTTTAACATTAATCTATTGCTAAAATAACTTATAAAAAAAAAAAAAAGGAAAAAGCATTAGAAGAAAAATACTCTGCATGCTGCAGTAGTGCAATGAATAGAACTTCTATAAATAGACTAGTATTAGAAACCCCATCATTTCAATAGAATAATGATAACATATATAAAACAACACATTATTTATACATTTACAGACTTTTTATGATCCTTGTATTTACGCTAGTGGATGCTACCCTGGAACAGTCTGTGGTCGACAGGGTGATGGTACAAGACGTTGTGAGATTGAAGGTATTATTAAAGTATATTATGATTGTTCCTCGTGTTATATATTGTAAGGGAACGACCATTTAACTTCAATGGGTGGGTTATGGTTTTTTTTTTTAATTCTGATCCCCACTTTGTTGGAAAAAAAAAATTCTGGTCAAGCAGATGATAAAAAAATATATTCTGGATACGGATTTTCCCCATACCTGATAGCGTTAAATTTTGAAAAAAATAACTTGATTGATAGCGTCGAAAAAGCAAATAAAAAAATTCTGACTCGGAAAAAAAAACCATGGCCCTCGGTCATAAAACTGTGCTCAGTACTCGGAGTACAAAATTTGTGCTCGAAACACCAGATCCAGTAGTTTGATTGGTTGATTTCTGAGTCCGAGTACAATAATCGTGCTCGAAAGTTTTATGACCGCAAGGCCATAACCTCCCTTTGAAGTTAAATGGTTGCTCCCATAACGAAAATAACACTTTATAAATTTAGAGCGTGGCAGCAAAGCTTTCCTGGATTTGCCCTCGTCAGAAATGCTCAATACCAAACATTTCAAAGCAAGAGATGTATAAATACATACTAGCGTAGGAATGATATGACTTGAATATATCTAATAATAAGAATAGTCAGATGAAAGCTTTTTGTCAAAATTAAAGTTAAAAAAAAAAACAAAAACAAAAACAAATCGTCTATTACTGTTTAAAACTTTTGCATTTTTAATTTGACCAACTATTGATAAATATACAAGCATTAGATTTCTAAAAACAATCAATGTTAAAGTATGTATACAGAAACAAAAAAAACAAAACAAAAAAAAAAACAAAAAAAAACAAAACAAAACTGCCAGCTTATAAGACAGACCTGTTGGAAATTACAGTAGACTATTTAATTCGCCCAGAATCGATAATTCATCTCGTGGTTAAAATTTAATTCTAGGTTGTTTTCTGTTTATCATCTTGTGTTTATGTATAACCCTTAGTTTGTTATCCTTTATTAAATGGTTAAATCCGATCTTTCTCCGGACTTGACCTCGGTTATAAGAGTACCAGAAAGATTGGAAAAGACATTGACAGTTTGAAACGCTGTATTCTCAGCTTATTATTTCCAATAGCAATCATATTGAGAAAAATCCTGTTTAATTGATATAAAAAATTTCAAAATTCGAGTTTGAATTATTGCGATTATAACTCTGTCGCATTTTTCGCAATAATAAAAACATCGCAATAATTCCTGAATTTACTGTTGTTGTTCCTTTGAGTCACATTTTATAGCTTGGTTTAGCTCATTGTTAAAGACTACGGTAAATACTTTTGTTGACATCTTTTTGGTAGTTTGTTGATAATTGTTTAATTGCTAAGGAGTTTCTACTTCAGGAGTAGATTACTCTAAATGTATTTGGCAAACCTTTTCGTAATTGTGTGTCTCAATGCTCTCAACTTCGTATTTTATTTGGCCTTTTTAACTTTTTCATTCGAGCGTCACTGATGAGTCTTTTGTTGACAAAACCCGTGTCTGGCGTGCAAAATTTAATACTCACTAGTATATATGATGAATGTTTTGACAGAATCCCACATCTCCCTTTTTGTGTTAATAACCAATGTGTCAAGTACATTTCTTTTAGAAGTTGGGATTTTTTGGAATTTTTTTCATGACGATTAAATTTGAAACTCCTTCATCTGATATGATTTCAAATTATTACGTATAATTGGAAAAGTGACAAATGTAATGTTTGGACAAAAGACCAAGATCAACATTGAGTAATTTCGCATTAGGTACACTCGTGTTCTAAACTATGATTTAATTGTTTAGAGATAAACTGCCTAACTGTTCTTTTAAGAATGCGCAATGTATGCAAATGCGTATTAACTTACACGTTACAACTTTGATGAATAGCAGATTTTTAACAACAATATATTCCAAGTACTTTTTTTTAGAATGATTGCAGTTTAAGAATTACAAAATCAGTAAGAAGAAAAAAGGAAAAAAATAGGCGAAAAGATAATTATTTGTATTCAGTATCCTTAACGCCATTTTACCTAAAAAGTTTATGCTTAATGGACAGCATACTTTTTATCTAGAGTATTTTCAGTTTAAGAAATGCAAAATTACTTTAAAAAAATAGGCATAAAGACAATCAGATGTTTTGTGGGATCTTAACCCCATTTGTCCTTTTTTTCATAGACGAAACTGTTTACCAGAATTATTTGGAAAGTATAGCTGTTACAACACCGGAAGGAAAAACCACGGAAGTCACAACACCGGAAGGAAAAACCACGGAAGTCACAACACCGGAAGGAAAAACCACGGAAGTCACAACAGCGGGAATTATTGAATCAACCGCAGTACCAAAAGAGACAACAGAAGTAAACAAAACTGAAAGCGGAGCTACAACAATGGACGGATCTAATTTAACGGAGGTGACTACAACTGCTGTTCCGAGACCAAAAAAGTAAAACCGATGACATTTATACAAGCTTCTACAAATGTTTATATATTATAAGACAGCTTTAAAATATAGTTTTGTAAATTTGGAAATATATAGGTTTATTTAAACTCTTAGCATCGTCGGTAAAAACAGAACCGATGAACGTTGACTGTATTTTGATATGGCCTCGTGTTTAAGCCTGTGATTATGTAAAAACTATATATTTTATCACGGTAAACCTTTTTTTTTTACATATACAAAAGGTCATTATATTGCACGCTATAAGTTGTTTACCCTAATTTAGTTTTGCATTATATATATATCATGTATATTAATGACATTGTTCCTAGTTTCTAAATAAGTAAAGACGTTCTTACATTTCTGTAAATCTACTTGTTTTGTCAACAACAGTCATGTAACTGAAAAAAAAACGAATAGGATTTTAAATTAAAAATTTTGCACTGCTGAATGCAAAACACTTTTTTAGTATCAGTGAACAACCATTTTTGGGTTGATAATTCTAAAATTCCTCTGAATAATGCAAAGAGCTGAACTAATGTGCATGTTTTTGGTGTCATTTAAAAGGTATTTTATTTTGATATTACAATTACTTAGTATAACGTAATATTATCTATTGTACTGCATCAAAGATTTCATCACAGTTTATCACACAATAAACGACAAATAAACCCAACTCATTCTTTATACGCATGTCGAGAGCCTGTAATTCAATGGCAATTGTTTGTGGCTGTCTGCCATGTTTGTTTTTTTCTTTTTCGATTATTGATTATAGCATAAATCAGGCTGTTTGTTTTTTCTGTATTTAATTATCTCACAAATGACGGGTTGAAGGCCGTAGGGTGACCTATTATATTGTTGTAAAATTACATCTTCGCCCTTTGTTCTGTGGTAGTTAGTTGATCTCTTTGGCAATCGAACCCATCTCCTTTTTTAATATTAATCAATTCCATTGAACATATGTGCAAGTCCCGTTTGATATTTAAACTTTTCTTAGATGTTACAGTATATAGTAATAACTGTATTATATAAATATGTATATGGGTCTTATACGCATATGGTAGTCTTTCTGATATTGTTTAACATCTCACCCCTTATTTAATTGATTTTGTACTTACATTGTGTCATAGATCAAATGTATTCGTTCAGTGTATATTCACCTGTTTTTGTTAATATATGTCTTTTGATTGAGCTAAGCCATTTCAATTGATATTTTATAGTGTGTCTTTCTATGTTGTGATGTTACACCATTGTTTAAAGTAAGGTTGAAGGTTGGCACCTATTAAAACGTTTAAACCCGCTGCATTTGTTTGCACCTGTCTTAATTCAGGAACCTAATGTTCAGTGGTTGTCGTTTGTTGATGTGGTTCATAAGTGTTTCTCGTTTCTCTCTTTTTTGTTAATATAGATTAGATGGTTTTCCTGTTTGAATGGTTTTACATAAGTCATTTTTGGGGCCCTTTATAGCTTGCTGTTCAGTGTGAGCCAAGGCTCCTTGTTGAAGGCCATACTTTGACCTATAATGGTTTACTTTTACAAATTGTGACTTGGATGGAGAGTTGTCTCATTGTCCAGCTGATTCGTGCATATTTTCAAAAGAATTGTGGGTTTGTTAATAAACGCATGAAACTTTGCACAACAGTAGATATATATTTGATAGTCAATCTAAGCTATTGACCCACTCTGAAAAATCAAATATGGCGGCAATTTTCAAGATATCTGCCAATCAGTCTAAATTTTACAACCACGTCTAATTTAAAGCAAATGCTATTCAACCCAAAGCTTTTAAAAACATATAAAATGTAACCCAACGTTTCTAGTAAGTCATGAAGTTATATTAGACTTTTTTTATTATTTTCAAAATGGCGGAAAATTTCAAAATGGCCGCCAAAAAGCGAAAATAAATAAAACTAAGACAAGGCTTTGCTTATATTCTATCGATAGCACTTTGCAGTTCATACACTATTCTAGTGATTGTATTTCCATGATACATGAATGCTGCTTGCAAGACAATTTAATCGAAGATCTTTTAAATGGAAACAGTCGAACGTTTTCAGGACGCCATCAGGATTGGTATGACCATTAGGTACCATCTGAGTCACACATGATAATTAATATGTTTTACTTCTCCTTGCTACAATCCTTTCGTTTTCCTCGATTCGGTAGCATTAAGATGATCACTAAAAATGACTTATGACCAAATTTCTACTCGCAAACGGTAATCATGGTAGCATCACGAGTGCTTTCATTTGGCCAGAAACTACACACCCTTCCAGAACACCTACGAATACCCCTAGTTTTAATGAAAAGGTTCTTGTGTTGTTTATGTTTTCAATGTTGTGTTATTTGCTCTTTTTTTAAATATCTGTGTTGTCAAACAGTGAAAGTCTTGTTTATCCATCGTACAGGCATGGGGAACCTTATTCATTTCAAATATTCAAATTCGGTCATGTTTTGTACCAATAGATTTCACAAATTTAAATTTTGGGATTCTAAGTGTTAGAAAAGAGACATTTATATGATATATGCCTAATTATTGGATATGACTCATTAATCTTTTTAAAGAAGAGCACCTAAGCAGGTGTCAATTATTTGACAGGAACTGTTGAAACTTTTTGAGCACCCGAAATCGTCCCGGGCTTTCAGTTTGCTTCGTGTTGCTCAAGTTTTAGATTTTTGTGTAGTGATGTATTGACTGCTGTTAGTCCTTTTTGCGTTTTTATCCATTTTCTTATCTGGGTTTGTTTTACTAATGATTTTTGAGTGCCTAAATATGTTTTTTTAATCTTTTTTATCATCTAAACAGCAACATATTTTCAATGCAGTGTTCAGAATGTTTCTTAAGGACAACCCATTTAGTCTTTACATACCACAATTGTCCTCGCACAACTTCATTTACCGTAACATTTGTTTTATATCTGCCAACCAAATTTTATTAGCTCATTACAAAATGCTGATACCTTTGTGATAAATGTCCATATGGCATATACTATCAACAGTCACTTGATGTATCACTCTAGGTAAAAGGGTGAAACATTCCCCGCCTTAAGCTTTCACATGATTTGAGAATGTTGTGTGTTTGCTTTTAAAACGTTCCTGATGTAAGACATCATTTGGTTTACCTGATCAAGTTAAATTATTTTAAAGGTAGATTGAAACTTGTTAATTACTATGGCCATTTCTAGACAAAACACCATTAAATGCTAAAGTTGTGCGGTATCTATTGTCAATCTGATTGCCCCAACTTCTCCTTTTACAAGTGTGCAATTCTACGCATTTCGGAAAGAAAAATGCAACGAATCAATGAATAAGCAGTATAAGGAAATCTTTATGTACCTAGATTGAGCATTATCTTAATGATCTCCCATCATCATGTGCAGTTCAATGTTTTATGTTACAGACCAGTTGTGGTTAAGCAGACTCTCAATTTCCCTCTTGTTACTCCATTCTTTGAATTTTTTTTCTCATCAAGGTCTCGTTCATCAGTAAAAATTATGACAGGATCTTTGCATAAGAATGACAAGTACACCTACTGTAACCTCATGATGCATAAAAGCCTCTAAAGATTCATGAAGTACTATGTTTCTTTGATTGAACACTTGTTCAACCACTTTTTTCTAACCAATCACATAAGTTTTTCAACGATACAATTTCTATATAAAGACATAAAACAAAAACATTCTTTGTTCTGCTAGAAATATGTTTGCCGAGTTCCATTGTTTTGCTTTTGAAAAAGCAAAAAAAAAAAAACCGATTGATCACAAGTGATAATTGATACATGTCTCGGGGAAAACAATAACACATTGCTGAATTGTATTTATGGAATGTCGAATCGTTGTGATAGGTTTGATCTCTTCCTGAAACATTGGTCAATTCGGACTGATATATAAAGGCGGATGAGCATTTGTGTTGGCTCTACATTCGTGGACTGATCTCCAGACATATTTAATGTTTTCATTATCATCTGTTTCAATCCATCTGTGTTATCTTTTTGTTAACTTATTTATACCATGTAAGGATAGAGTTGCAGAATTGAATAATTGTACCAGGTTGGCATACATGTATTTCTGGTTAGACAATTGACAGAGTGCATGTCCATAAAACGATAATTATGTTTGGTTAGTATTTAGGATATACATTGTTTCTTATTATATAGTAATATATATACATATTATATACTAAGTTAGAGCAATAAATCGAGCAGTAGTGCTGGCGCATAACATATAGGTGAAAGTACCAGAGATTCTAAGGGAAATGCATATATTTGAAAGCATAAGGTTATGACGAATTTGCCAAGTTAGACTTAGAAGATGTTGAATGTAACGATTCTTAAGCCGTAGTTGAACATTTGTTGTTGTCAATATTGTCTACGGCTGAAAAACCACCAGGATTCGAGGAAGGAACCACATATTTAATGTTGAATGTTTCAAAGATGGAATCTTCTAGTAATGTAGATGCATGGATAATTGGAGCATTCATAAAAGACAAACGTATTAACTGTACATTTTTGTCATTTTGTACTTCCCTTTCTGGTCCTAGCATTTCTAAGAAGGTCTATATACATTGAGGAATGGGTTTAGTTCAGTTGAATGTAATATTAAAGAAGAATAGAGAAAAACAAACAGAAGTAACTTTGAAGTGGATAGCGTTGTATTTGCCTCAATAGAATAACTCGACGGCATCTGAATATTTGGCCGAACGATTATCAACTAATGTTTTAATGACTGGGTAAAACTTTTTGCCTACATCCTATCTTTTTAAACTACCAGCATGTGCAACTTTTTTCAAATACCGTTGTCATACAAACAGATTGCTTATTTAAATGCAACAACAAAATATTTATTAAACAGGATGAACAAGCACATGCCTTGTTAATGGCCTGGCAAGCCTGAGATTTCTTTTTTCAGATCATTACTATGTCCTCTTCCAATTGATCATAGAGAAAACTGTTCGAATCGAGAAGTATACATTCTAGTTAAGTCTAGCTTAAATATTGGAATAACGCCAGTGCCTATACGTGATCCCTCGTTGTTGACTACTGTTCTGCAAAAAATGGTACCATAGTTACGATTGTCTATACTTTCCTCACAAATGTTTTGATGGATGTCTTTAGTATATAAATGTGGCATGCACTTGGTGTTAAAGGGCACATACAGTTTTACTGCAGGTACGTCAAAATAAAACACTTTGTAACCTTCTATAAGAATATTTGTTGATTTTGATATCTCATGGCGGCCATCTTGCAAAAAGCCGTCATATTTAAATTTCAATTTGGGTCCATAGCTTTGTTTGAAGCACCTAGTACTAATAAAATGACACATTTGAAGTAATATAAAGGATATTTGTTGATTTTGATATTTTGTGGCGGCCATTTTGGAAAAAAGCCGCCATAATAAAATTTCAAGGTGGGTTCAGAGCTAATAATGTTGAAACACCCAGCACTACTGCCATACCAAATTTGACCTTAAATGTGGCCTTAGATAATAAGTGATATATGTTGATTTTGATATTTTATGGCGGCCATCTTGGAAGTAGCCGCCATATTGAAATTCCAAGGTGGGTCTATAATAGTTAATATTGCTTGAAACACTCAAAACTACTACCATACCAAAGTTGGTGCCTTTATCATCAAACCCACAATTTGTTCACCAATCTGCCGGACTATCATTGGCACCCATACCACATCCTCTTATATCTACTTATTTGATTTTCAAAATTAGGTAAACATGTACTCTTCATTTCTTATGTCTCTTTATATTACCCCGCTGAAGTACGTCCATTATTCATTTTTCATTGTTCAAAATTCAATAACCGTTAGTAATTAATAATGAATAATAAAATAGTTCATATTTCACTATTTAAGTTGAAAAATGAATAATGAAATAGAAAATTTATTTTTTGACTGTGACACTATTTCGCAGCGCTGGAGAACGTCCATTATTAGTTTATAACAATTTTATTTGCTCAAAGATACAAAAGGATCGGACACAAGTTTAACCAACTTATGAAGTCTTCTCCTTTACATAATATTACAATAACAATTATACAGAGCATGCACAGTTCAGTAAATATATATTAAAGGTAATAGTAAAATGAAGCATTTGCACAGTCTGAGAAGAAGAAAAAAAAAGCCTAACACAAGTAACAAGGAAAAGGATAGAGAATTGAGAAAAAGAAAAAATATAAATAAA